GAGACTGAGATTACGAAAGAAAATGAGAGAATTTGTAAAAGAGAGAGAGACAGAGTAATACATGGAGAGAGTATGATATAGAGTGTGAGTGTGAGCAAGAGGCAGAGTGACTGAGAGAAAGATAGCAAGTGGAAGAGAGAGAGAGAGAGAGAGAAGGTCTAAGTATAGAGAAAAAGATAGATATTAAATGATTAGAATTAAAAGTAAACTATTCTTGAGGGCTACAGTTAAACATGCATACACAGACACACACACACACACACACACAATCATCATTTATCATCTGTTCTTCGCTTCATGCAAATCTCTTGAAAATCATGTAAAAGAAATTAGAATTTTGATTTCAATTTTCCATTTAAACATATTTTTTCCATTTACCAAAAAAAAAACCTCTACTAAAAGTGTTTTCTTTGGGGCTAATTAAATTAGTGAGCTAATTTGACATGGGTTGACTGTGGGCTTAGGCATCGGACAGAAAGGCTAAGCGAAGGGGAAACGTGCGAAACGTGAGTTCCACAAATGAAATATAATAAATATCTTAAGGAATTAATGAAACTTCAAGATTCAGATCGATTTCTGCTGCTTCAGTTACGAAATCTTAGCTGCAAGCCATTTGCTGATGGATTTATAATTTGGCAGACTTCCAAATCTAGATATGGCTTAGGAGTTGTAGAGTTGGAATTGAATATCAAATGCTGATGATGATGATGACGATGATGATGTAATGACAACTCAGTCAATCGGAGCGGAGGTGGGTGCGCGCTCGGGTCGGTAACTGGGCCCGGCTTTGCTTTATTTTATTTTATTTTTTTTTTTTCGTATTTTGTCATCAGTTTTATCAACTTGTCGCTTCACTTTGTGTATCTATTTTTGTGTGTCACTGTCAACAAATTGCTTTTAATGGCCGGTTGGGTGGCGCAGCCGCCCCATGGCTACCGCTACACGCAGCACCACCACCGGCCACCCAGCACCACCCACTATCCAAAGCCCCAGCCCAAAGTACCCGCCATCAAAGTTCGGTTTGGTTCGATGCGAGTCGGCTTCGTGTGACAATCACGGCCTATGTCCATTGGGGCCGCCTAATTTTTGTGATTTCCGCACGACAGCAACAGCAACAACAGCAGCAGCAGCAGTTTGCACTGCAACAACAACATCAACAAATAGCAACAGCAACAGCGTCTGACGAAGTGCCTCGGCCTGACGACTCACATTAAATGCCGCCGCCGTTGCCGTCGTCGTCGCTGTCGCTGTCGCCGTCGACGCTGCCGTCGCCGCAGACGCGGCCGCAACGCGTCCCGTTCTTAATTCAGTTGACCAGCAGCCAGCGCTGCGACGAGACACGCGACTAAAAAATATATATATAAAAAAAAACAAGATAAAATAAAACAAATAATAAATAAAAATAAAATAGAAAATTGTAGAGAATTATCAGATCAGCTATAGACCAAAAATTATATAGCGTCGGCGGCGGCGCGCAACACGTAAAAAAAGAAGAAAAACTCAAAACTGAAAGCAAAAAATAATAAATAAATAAAAGGAATAGAAATACAAATTTCACGCGTTTTCTGTGCGTTTAGAAAACGCGCGCGTTTTTCACGCCTTTTTGTTGTTGTTGTTGTTGCTTCCGCTCATTTTCCAGTGCAAAAGGAAAGAATTCTGAAAAAGGTGAAATATTCATTTAAATACACACGTTTTCTATATGTATATATGAAATATAAATATATATTTATGCATAAGTGTGTGTATGTATATCATGTATATATATATATATATATATTGTAATTTATTTATTTAAATTTTTTTGTGTGTGTTTTATTTTTTTTGTTGTATTTTGTGCGTGTGCGTAACGAATGCAAAAGTTTGCTGTGTTGCGATTATGTTGCTAGGCTGTTTGCTGTGTGCTGTTTGCTGTGTGCTGCCTGCTGCTTGCTGCTTGTTGGCCCGGCATCGGCGTTCCGACTAGACGCCAGGTTCGCCCACCTAAAACGCATGCACGACCAACACAAATAGCGAGCAACGTTGGCGGCCCAACAACAATGGCAACAAGTCCAAGTCCAAGTCAAAAAAAATAAATGTATATATATATACAAATATATATATAATCAAGATATACGCAATGCCCATTAGGGCAAGAAGCTATCTAGTAGTAAAAGCGTCTGCCTTCGCTACCAGCCACAGACACATAGAGCGCAACAGGCAGCAATTTCATTATGTTGTCTTTCACCTGCCGCTGCCAATAAATAAATAAGCAGCTAAGAGCAACGAAACCAATAGAATATTCAAAATAAAAACGAATATGAAAATTGAAAAAGAAATGCCAAACGCCAGACGCGCAGAGAAATTGGATGAAAACACTTGTTGAGATTGTTGCATTTCACTATTTTCGTAACAATGAATGAGATGTGCAAGCAAATGGAAGATGGAAGATACTTATATTTAATATATGCATAGCTTAAATAAATATATATATATATATATATATATATATATATATATATACATATCAAGTATAGAGCCAGTGGCCAAACTCAACTCTGCGTTGAGCCAAAGAATAATCCATTTGATCTCAGATCTTGCCCAGTTCCAGCTACACTCAATGTAAAACATATAAGAGCTGTCCAGTTCTCTAGGCTATGAAAGCCAAGTAAAAACTGGTAGCATACATACATTTAGATAGGATATATTTAGATATATTCTTGATCAATAGCAGCAGTTCAGCAGACTCCTTTTAGCTTTGCCTCTGTTACGATCGCGACATCGGCTCACAATGTCCATTGCAGCTAAGCTTAAGAGAAACTCAATATTGTTCCTTTAAATATATATAAAATAAAATCTGACATATGTGTTATATACAGTGCTTCAAGGGGTATAGCCGAGGGTATATTTGACTTGTTTGACTATGCCAACATTCAGCAACTTGTCATGAAAGCTAATCAAATGAATATGAAATCAGCCAAAGAAGGCAAATGGCTTTCAAGAAGTCATATTCCAAGTATATGTAACAGAGAGCTATGATATAAATATATATATATATATATTGACGTTGATAAGTTCGAGTATTTGAGTTGATCTTTCTATTGCTAATTTGACACAGCATAAATTGATTTGGTTTATCTGCAGCTGCTGCTATCTAAAGTGAGCGCTGTGCCCGCCGGCTGCTAGTGATAAGGCGCTGCGACAGACTCAGCATGCAAATGTTGCTGCCGTGACCGATGCTGCTGCTGTTGCTGTTGCTGTTGCTGTTGCTGTTGTGTCACGACAGCAACATATATGATTGTCAAAGCTGAGGGACAACTGTTTGCTATCACTGTGCTAGCCAGCGGCAGTCCATTTGTTTCCAGCATTCAATCTGCCTTTATCAACTCACTCTCTCTGTGTGTGTGCGTGTGTGTGTGTGTGTGTGTATCTGTCATTATCAAAGCAAATAGTCAAGCGACAGCAACTTGAGTGTCAATTGTTAGCTCAAATCTCGGATATACTTTTGAATGGCAGCCACTTAATGGCCAGAGCTGCATCCCGGCAGCAGCTACTTGGAACTAAGACTCGCAATAACAACAGTTAAATCAAAGTATGTGTGTGTGTGTAGTAGTTATAGCTAAACGGCATCTCCGGTGGCATTCGGGGATCATCATATCGGTCGGCCGTAGCGCTGATTGCTGACAACTTAATCAAGAACATTTGAGTATAACAATCTAAGGCATTCTCTAAATATAACACATAGTGTCTATATGGCTATACAGGCAATGCTGCTGTCAGCTAATAAGTCTCAATGTCTGTATGTGTGACACACACACACACAGAGAGAGAGAGAGAGAGAGAGAGAGAGAGAGAGGGAGGCTATATATAATAATATTTTTCTGTATTTGCCAGTTGGCCCTGAACTTTGGGTGCGCTCAATTTGCACTGTCACGAATGTTGCGAATGTGTCAAAATGGGATGCTGGCACGCAAATCTCTCAGAACAATGCAAGATCTTTGTCCGATCATATCTCTCTCTCACACACTCTTGACTCGCTGTGCTGTCTGGATATGCATGAGCAGCCTAGTTCCCAGCTAAAGGCTTTGTCAATTTGTGATCTATATAAGAGGTTAAGTTTCTATTGAGCCACTGCCCTGAGCTTAAAACTCGTTTCAAATATATTTGTTTTTTTCTTATTTTTTTTAATATATAGTTTTTCTACTTACTTATTTCTCCAATTCCATATTGTGTTTCTATTTATAGCTGTCAACAATTTGTGTCATATTTATAGACAGAGTCCGAATGTGTTTCGCTGGTGTTCGGCCAGTGTATGGAGGGGGTTCTCACTGTGCTGATTATTCAATTGCTTTGTAAATCTTTATTCGTATTTAGTGTGTCAGTTTTATGATCACCACAAACACGTTGATTGAATACTTTATTCATATTTACTCATATACGAAATTGCGATCTTGATTATCTAAATAACTTAGGAGCCACCATTGAAAAACTTTCCACATAAATTGCTCTGCACTCGCATAGCTGTCTCTGGCGAATCCATTTAGACTGATATCTGTGATCGATAATACAGGAAGTGTGAAAAAAACAAAGAATGTTATCGATAAAGGCGCATACTATCGAAAATAAAAGCTTCAAACATATATGTATTTTTTTAGTGTAGCTGCTCTTTTTATTGTTATCAGTTATCGATAACAAATGTAGAGTTAGATTGTCGATAAAGACAAAAATAGATACGAAATACTTTTGAGTAAATGCATTTACAGCTATCAAATTAATCGAAAACATGTAAAAGAAGATATTAATATTAATCAAAGCTATCGATAACAGATCACAATTGAAAAAAACTCACAAATCAGTCATCGATAGTCAATTTCAATCGAGCAAAGTCTTTGGCTTAATCAAAAATTAAAGATGATACATTGATAGGTTATCGATAACATTTAACAATCGATAAGCAAAATTTGCCAATGATGATCGCTTTTTCATTGATATCAATTATCGATAGCACGGTTGAAATACGCCAATGACGATAGTTTTTTTTATTGATTATCGATAAACAACACAGTTAAAAAAAACTCTGATATCAGTTATGGATAATAAATCTGGATCACAATTAATTTTCACTAATCGTTAGTTATCGATAACACATTCCAGTCGACAATCGAAATTCGCAAATCGATATATACAAAAATTAGTCAAATCGCAAAAATAGACAAAAAAATCTGAAAACATTTTACATTTATTAAAGCCAATCACGAATCTAACAATTATTTTCGGCTATATATCCATATGGGGAGTCGCACATTAAATTATATTGCTAGCTGATCGTATAAGGCGAAGCGTCATAAATCGAAACTGGCCCTTGGCGAAAACTTTTGCCTAATTTGATGTGTAAACATTTGACAAATTTCAAGCTTTCAATCGGGCGTAAAATAGCCGAAGGTCGAGCCCAACAGACACACGCACGATACGCCTGGAGAGCATAGATCATAGCGCCATGGCTCTGGCTGGGTATACGAAACGAATCGAGTTTCCCTAGCAAACCGTTTGGGCAATTAAATAAACAATTTGACGAAATACATTAAAATGCATGAAGACAAATCAAGCGAACAAATAAATCAAATAATGCAAAGGGCAGGTGGCGCGAGGGGCGCTCGCTAAGTTTCCGAGATATCAATTCCAAAAATAAACAGCCCAATTGAGCTGCGACCTCAGACAGGCAGACAGCCAGACAAACCGACAGATGAGCTGCAATGCCGCACATTTTATTTACGTGCAACAAGTGTAAAACAACATAAAAAAAAAAACGAATTACTGCAATTTGCATTTATTTTATTATTATAGTTTTTATTGTTGCTGCTAAACTTATGCATTTGCCCATGCGTACAAATATTCTAATTGTTGCATCTGTCTAAGTCTGACCCCAATGGCTATTTAACCAGACCAGCTCTACCAATTGCGATGCTTTCAAAAGGTATTACACAGCTGAGATACCCTTTAATGTTGAAGTATAATATGATATATGATATATGATATATGATATATGATATATGATATATGATATATGATATATGATATATGATATATGATATATGATATATGATATATGATATATGATATATGATATATGATATATGATATATGATATATGATATATGATATATGATATATGATATATGATATATGATATATGATATATGATATATGATATATGATATATGATATATGATATATGATATATGATATATGATATATGATATATGATATATGATATATGATATATGATATATGATATATGATATATGATATATGATATATGATATATGATATATGATATATGATATATGATATATGATATATGATATATGATATATGATATATGATATATGATATATGATATATGATATATGATATATGATATATGATATATGATATATGATATATGATATATGATATATGATATATGATATATGATATATGATATATGATATATGATATATGATATATGATATATGATATATGATATATGATATATGATATATGATATATGATATATGATATATGATATATGATATATGATATATGATATATGATATATGATATATGATATATGATATATGATATATGATATATGATATATGATATATGATATATGAAATATGATATATGATATATGATATATGATATATGATATATGATATATGATATATGATATATGATATATGATATATGATATATGATATATGATATATGATATATGATATATGGTATATGATATATGATACTTAGTTAATGTATATTAACATAAAGATATTTCAAAGACTCAGAAACAGATTGATCCAAGAAATTCAAAAATTCCACATAAAAAAGATAAACTAAAATATTTACAGCTAGAATAATCATAGCCACTGCAAATACCACAATAAACATTTGTTTTTTTTTAAATGCAAAAAACATTAGACGGAAATGTCAAATGAAAAGAAAAACATTGGAGACGCCAGAGTTGAGGAAGTCGATAAAGATGAAAGCGTCGAATTATTGTTAAATATTTACATATTTATATATTATATATATTACTATATATATACATAATATATGTAGAGTAATCAAATGCTACAGCTAGAGCTGGGCACACCCATTGCTCCCTTGACCAATTGACCACGCCGGGCACGTACTGCAGCTAATCATCATGCTCATCGCAGTAATAATAATGATGACAGCACTACTATTAGACTCGGACTATTTGAAGAGCACGGACTGGGATTTGAGTTTTGGAACTTGACAGCGGCTTTCGAGCTGCTTGCCAAATTTGGTCGAGGCGCTGCGCACGCGCCACATGCAGACAGCGCCGATGGGGCAATTAGTGTATGCCAAATCCAAACTGGCGCAATCCATGTGAGACGCATGCAAATGTGGCTTGGCGTATTCCTTGCCATCAATGTCTGCATATCCACATTCATTTCTATCTCTGACTTCAATCAATGTCACAGACTGCTCCGTGCCAGTCGCTAATAGCCAACAATCTGAAGCGTCTGCCTTTCTGTCTTTCTGTGTTCCTGGGCCAATGCCTGGCTTTCGCTCTCTCTCCTTCTTTGGCTTGGCCTCTGACTCAGCCTACCTCAGAGGAGCACTCTTGCAGAATTGACTCCACTCCGACCTCTTCATCTGCCCTTGCCTATGATTGTCTTCTCCACGTTTGTCCCTGTCTTATTCTCTGTTCTCTCTGTTCTCGAGAGGGAGGAGAAGGAGAAGGAGAAGGAGAGGGAGAGGGGAGAGGAAGAGGGAGAGGGAGAGGGAGAGGGAGAGGAGAGGGAGAGGGAGAGGGAGAGGGAGAGGGAGAGGGAGAGGGAGAGGGAGAGGGAGGGAGAGGGAGAGGGAGAGGGAGAGGGAGAGGGAGAGGAGAGGGAGAGGGAGAGGGAGAGGGAGAGGGAGAGGGAGAGGGAGAGGGAGAGGGAGAGGGAGAGGGAGAGGGAGAGGGAGAGGGAGAGGGAGAGGGAGAGGGAGAGGGAGAGGGAGAGGAGAGGGAGAGGGAGAGGGAGAGGGAGAGGGGGAGAGGGAGAGGGAGAGAGGGAGAGGGAGAGGGAGAGGGAGCGGGAGAGGGAGAGGGGAGGGAGAGGGAGAGGGAGGGAGGGAGAGGGGAGAGGGAGAGGGAGAGGGAGAGGGAGAGGGAGAGGGAGAGGGAGAGGGAGAGGAGAGGGAGAGGGGAGGGAGGGGAGAGGGATGGGAGAGGAGAGGAGAGGGAGAGGTCTCTTTCTCTTTCTCTTTCTCTTTCTCTTTCTCTTTCTCTTTCTCTTTCTCTTTCTCTTTCTTCTTCTCCTGCTCCTTCTCCTGCTCTTTCTCTTCCTCTGTGTCTGCCTCTGTTCCTGCTAATTGCCTCTCTGGGTCTCTGCCCCTTCTTCAGATTCTGCCTCTGGCTCGCTTCCTGCCGTCTCTTATGCCTCTTTGCTGTGGCAGCTCACTCATTTTTTATGGCTGCACGGAGGCGGCGACGGAGTCGTAAACCCAAATTGCAATCCACATGCCTCAAAGTAATGCTCGGTAATTGTGGCATGTGCTACGCTTCTTTTTTGAGTTTTCTTTTTTGCTGGTGTCGTGGCTGCCTCTGCTGCCGTTGTGGTTCTTTTGTTGCTGGCGAGGCCCAGGCAGCTATTTAACAAAAATGAAATGAAATTAAAATGCAGTTGACCTAAAAATAGCAAACAGCCAGGCCGGACTAGGCCAACAGCACAAATTGCTAGCGACCCACTAAAAATTACTTAAAACAATTACAAAAAATATGCATGCATAATATATATATATATATATATATATCTGATATCCGATACATGATATTTGCTATGCTCTCTATAAGCGCAATGATCGATGCATTGAATACAATTTTTTAAAGGAGAAAGAAATATTGAAAATTAACTGACTTGGAGATGGAGTTGTGCTTAGATGAAATGTCCCAAAAGATCGGAAAATTTCAGAAGCTCTTTAAGCTTAGAGAACTGTAACCGATTAATCAACTAACAGACTATGTTAACTGTTAACAGCAGTTGCTTAACATTTGAAAAATGTAACAGAGTATGTTAAGTATTAACAGCAGTCGCTTAACATATATTAGAATCAATTAACAGGGTATGTTAAGTTAAGTCTCGGGCATGGCCGCATGCCCCACTGTACTCTACTTGTTATTCGTGCCACGCCCGCTGAGTGCAGATGTCAATAATAACAATGTTGTCCGGGTCATGCGAGGGCAAAGGTGATGCCTGTGAGTGCCACCGATTTGATGCCCGTGCCACACATCAAATACGGCGGCAATTAACCCAATTTACAGGCAACAATCTCGCGCACGCTCGCCACCAACCTCGCCCCCGCCCCCAGCCCTACCTCCGCCACAACCACCGCCGCCGCCGCCGCCGCCCCGCTCCGTGGGCTGTCAATCACAACATTCAATTATAGTTATGGACAACTCGCAACTGGCAACTCGCAACAAACTGCACTGTGCTAGTGAGTTGTAAGCGGCGCTTGGCTGCGTCAACTTGGGCGTCGGCGTTGGCGTTGGCGTCGACGCTGACGCCGCTGTCTGACCCATTTGTGTTGCACGCACACAGCGAACAGGAGCGAGCATGAAAATTGAGATTGAGAAAATGGCAAATGGTTGGGGACACACCCACATAGACACATGCAACCGCAACAACGACAACGACAAAGACGACGACGACCGCATCCTGCCATCAAAGTTGCCGGCAACATCGCTGCTGCCAATGACGCAGGCAGCAGGCAGCGGGCAGCGGGCAGCGGACGCTCTTGTTGACGTCGATTGTGAAGCGTTCAGTTTGCATTGGGACGCGTGTAAAATCTGTTGCATATCAACGAGCTGCGCCGTAAACTGTTGCATACTTGACAGCGCTCAGCCTCTGACATTTTCAGTTAAGTTTAGTTAAAGTTGACTTTGATTAAAGTTGGCTTCAGGCAGCCAGCTGAGCAGCTGCAGCAACAATCTTTCGACTCAAATTGTAAATTCTTCTAATATTATTTTTTACGCTCCTTGATTTGTGATATATCTATATATATATATATATATATATATTTCTAATAATTTGAAAATAAATTTTTGAAACAGCAACATCAACAGCAGCGCAGCAGCAGCCACAGTGGATGCTCACAAGATGGTTCACCACAGCAACGACGATGCCATGAACAAAATTCCACTCAAGTCCTCCAACGGACTGGACGACGAAGAGAAAAATGGCGATGAGCTGATGCAGGATACAGCCGCAGCCGAAGAAGCGCGTCGCGAACAGATGTAAGCCAAGATTTTGAAACAGTTTCAACTTTTTAGAAATCAGAAAGAAGTCACAGCTTCGAGCCCAGCTTAAGTTTCGAAAAACTCAAAAACAAGGCTAAACTAGATTCAGCTGAGGGCTCAGCAGAACTGCTGAACAGCTCAGATTGACCCAAGGTTATATAAATTATAATTACAAAAGCTATAAGCAAGTCAAGCAGGCAACAATTTGTAGTAACAAAAATCATAGCATACTTTTAAGGGCAGCATTTTATGTGAATTTATAAATAGAAACTAATAAATATATACGCACTTTTGTGCTTTGCAGGCGGGCCAATTTGTTGGCCTGGATGAAGAAGCTGACAATTGGCCTAATCTGCTTCATTGGCATTGCCCTGATAAGCTATGTGATCATCAGCCTGTGCTTGAGCGGTAAGTTCGAATCATAGCCAATCGAGCAACTGGCCAAACCCACATCTCTAACCACTCACTCACAAATGCCTACTAATTTATACACACACACACACACACGAACATACACATACACAGACATACATAAAGAGAAGAATGTATGTGATTGTATCAAGAACAAGCACAAAAGCCAGAGCAACAAAGAAACAGCAAGACATCTTGAGCAATACAAATGCAATATGTTGCATAGTTAGACGCTTTGCATGCCTTTGTCATACGATTCATAATCCTGCACCTCGGCACCCACTCGTAATGTTATATTTCCTCTATTGTGGCACCAAGAAAAGCAAATGTATTGACAACAAACTCTTACACCTTAACTTACTAAACAACAACAACAACAATTGCACCGACAACACCAACAACAACAACAACAACTTCTGTAGACTGGTCAAAGTCGTCGAGAATCACCAACAGCACAGTTGCCAAAACAACAACGCCAGCACCTGCAACAATTGTTGGCAGCAGCACAGCAACATCGGCGGCAGCAACAGATGCTGTTGCCGACGCCGCACCATCAACACCAGCACCAACAACAACAATAAGAACAACTAGCACAACAACAACAACTACAACAACAACAACAACAACAGAAAGCACACCAACAACAACAACAACAAGCAATCCAAGCACAAGCCCCACACTTAAACCATTTAATTCAACAGATGAGCAATCGCTTCCGCCGGCATCGGTATCCGACGGCAGCAACATGGAAGCGACAACAGCAACAAGTGAGGAAATTGCAGTAGCTGGACCAGCTGTAGCCGCCTCCACATCACCCACCACGCCACCACCCTCGGCAGCACCTATTCTGGATGACGGCGACGACAAGGACAATAAGAATTTCACATCCAAATTGGGCATTTACAAGCATGCGGCTGTTTGCTCGGATATGGATACTTGTAGTCAGATTGGCAGGTATACAAGTATTATCATAAGCATTAGGAGCAGGCCGGATCAGATGCCTTTATCAGGAGCAGGAGCAGGAGCGGGAGCAGTAGCGGAGCAGGAGCAGGAGCAGGAGCAGGAGCAGGAGCAGGAGCAGGAGCAGGAGGCAGGAGCAGGAGCAGGAGCAGGAGCAGGAGCAGGAGCAGGAGCAGGAGCAGGAGCAGGAGCAGGAGCAGGAGCAGGAGCAGAGCAGGAGCAGGAGCAGGAGCAGGATGCATGGAGCAGGAGCAGGAGCAGGAGCAGGAGCAGGATCAGGAGGCAGGAGCAGGAGCAGGAGCAGGAGCAGGGAGCAGGAGCAGGAGCAGGAGCAGGAGCAGGAGCCGGAGCAGGAGCAGGAGCAGGAGGCAGGAGCAGGAGCAGGAGCAGGAGCAGGAGCAGGAGCAGGAGCAGGAGCAGGAGCAGGAGCAGGAGCAGGAGCAGGAGCAGGAGCAGGAGCAGGAGCAGGAGCAGGAGCAGGAGCAGGAGCAGGAGCAGGAGCAGGAGCAGGAGCAGGAGCAGGAGCAGAGCAGGAGCAGGATCAGGAGCAGGAGCAGGATCAGGAGCATTAGCATAGCATTATCAGGAGCAGGAGCAGGATCAGGATCAGATCATTATCAGATCATTATCAGGATCAGGATCATTATCATTATCATTATCATTATCATTATCATTATCATTATCATTATCATTATCATTATCATTATCATTATCATTATCATTATCATTATCATTATCATTATCATTATCATTATCATTATCATTATCATTATCATTATCATTATCATTATCATTATCATTATCATTATCATTGTCATTGTCATTATTATTATCATAATTTTTACACGTAATTTTATTTTATTATTGTCATCAGCAATATCTTGGAAAGGAATGGCAGCGCTGTGGATGCAACAATTGCCACAATGCTGTGCAATGGGCTCCTGACCTCACAGAGCATGGGTATTGGCGGTGGTTTAATAATGAATATCTATGACCGGGAGTCACAACAAGGTTATCAGATCGATGCGCAAACCGTGGCGCCCTATGCTTCCCATCAGAAGATGTTCGATAAGGATGTAAATTCTTCTATCATTGGGCCGCTGAGCATTGCGGTGCCTGGCGAGGTGATGGGATATCATTTGGCGTACAAGCGCTTTGGCAAGCTGCCATGGCGAGAGCTAGTGGAGCCCTCCCTGAAAATTTGCGAGACTGGATATCGAATGAGTATGCATCAGGCATTGAATGTGGAGAAGGTGTGGCCCACTATCAAGGACAATTTGCAGTATCAGTAAGTACATGAGCTAAGTCCCAATCAAGATATAGATAATCAAGCTAAAACCATCGTAGATCCGTTTTCCTAAATGCGGAAACGGGTGACCACCATCGGGAGGGAGCAATACTGAAGCCACCAGCAAAACTGTGCAACACGTACAAACTACTAGCTGAAAATGGCCCAATGGACTTTTACAACGGCACAATTGCGCAAATGCTGGCCGAGGATCTGAAGGAGTTGGGCAGCATTATTACTCTAGACGATTTGGATACATATACGGCCGACTTACGTCTGTCCGTAACCATGCCTCTGGGCAACGATACTCTGTACGCCGTGCCGCCGGTGAGCAGCGGATCTATCGTCTCGCACATACTGAGCATTCTCGAAGGATATAACTTCACACGGGCTGATTTGGCGGACGATGAATCGTATGCTCTGACTATACATCGTATAACGGAAGCGATGAAGTTCGGATTCGCACGTCGCGCCGAGCTGGGCGATCCGCGTTTCAATGATATTCGTGAACTGGTCAGCCAGCTCAACAATCCTGAATATGCTGCCCAGCATCGTGCCAAGATCAATGACAACAGCGTGCTGAGTGGCCCGCACGAATACGGTGCACAACTCAGCTCCGAAGATGATCCGTATGGCACCTCTTCGCTCGCCGTGTTAGCGCCGAATGGCGATGCCGTTTCCGTTACCAGCTCCATCAATTACTAGTGAGTATTTTGAGCCCTCAATACATTGGCTTATATAGTTCTTGCAAGCTGTCAATAGATGGCGCTCTATGTAAGCACTCAGCAACCATTGCTCACTAAACTGCCAATAGGTAGCGCCCCTAAGTCCATAACGATACTTTTAATATTAATATTAATATAATGTAATATTTAATGTTTTTACTCTTAATTTTATAGTTTTGGTTCCGGCTTGATTGGACCACGAACTGGCATCATTTTGAACGATTGCATGAACGACTTCTCTCTCAAGGATAATATGTTCGGTCTGCCACAGTCGCAAGCGAATGTAATAGATTTACATAAGCGTCCCATGTCGTCGCAGTCGCCAATGTTGCTGGCCGATCAGGACGGCAATATACGTCTAGCGATCGGAGCTGCCGGCGGCAGCAAGATATTGGGCGCCATTGTCGAGGTGGCCGCCCGCTTTCTCTGGTTCGGCGACGACCTGAAGGCGGCCGAGGATGCGCCACGGTTTTACCATCAGCTACTCCCCGATGTTCTCCAGTACGACGAAGGACGTTTCTCAGAGAATGTGCTGAGTCTACTGCGGAAGCGGGGGCACACTCTGAAGCCGTTGGACCGGCACAACACTGCCGTGGTCTGTGCCATTGGTCGCAATGCGACAGCGATCTATGCAAATGCCGATGGACGCAAGCGTGGCGACGTGGCCGGATTCTAGACACAACCCCAGGCACCCAGGCACGCACACACACACAAGCGCGCGCGCACACGCACACACACACGCACACACTCATACACGCATAAGCAAACACTAGCGTATCGTTCAAGTGAGATTAGTTTGAAGAGAAAATAAAAAGAAAACAAGAATTAAACAAAGCGAGAAGTGAGGGTGAACACGAATGTGCAAGTAAAAGTATTTAAGCTAGCTATGTCTTTTTTACATATATCGTATGTATATCGTATGTTATATAAATTTATATGCTACCTACAACTACCTTACCTTATACAATAAAAAATCAAAAACTGCAATTTTTTTTTTTCCGAAAAAATAAATGAGATACCAAAATATACAAATTGTGCAACGTATGCGAATCTCTTTTTGAAAGGGTATCCCTTAGTTGTGCACTGCCTGCTTGGGGAGGGAGTCCCTCTACAGGGTATCGAAACTATTGTACCAGAGACACAAATCTATACTACTTGAAATTTCACCAGAAACAAGGAAGGATGTCCAGATGTCTGCATATTTATCATATCAATATAATGTACAAAATACATTACAGATCTTTAGCTTGCAGTTAGGCGAAACTCACTAAATAATCGATTTCGATCGATAATTTGAAAATCAGATAAGTTATCGAACTAGATGAGAACATTCCACTGCGCGTTTCCTACATAGCGAATATGATATATGAGAAGAGTCTAGGCCATAGCGAGATCGTTGTTGTAGAAAGAACGGAAGGACGGACGAACAGACAGAGAGACGTATTGAAATAGAGACGACCAGAAGTGACACGGCATGCCAAGAACAACTAAGCCCATCGTCAAGGGTCTATCGAAAATATATGTTCTATAGTTTATGGCTTCTACGACTACCACGCCAAATCCCTGTTGACAGCCGCTAGCGAGGGATAGTCGAAGGGGAATTGTCAATTATAAGCTAAGCCATAGAAAATATTAAAATTTTTATTAAATAACATAACGAAATTTAAGCCACCTAAGAATTTGTATTAATCAACAGAAACAAGAAATTATGAACTCAACATTAACACGTAAATTAACCAACGAGCGTCAACTTAATTATTTTCATGCTTCTTGACGGGGCTGCATTCCGGATGGAAATCTTGTTGAAGTGAAATTAATAATGTGACTCAAGGCAGAATTATGTCAGCTTCGACGCTTTCTCCTTGGGCTTGCAGATTTTGTTGGCATATTGCTCGACCGCGGGGGGAATTCGCAGTGCTATGTCGGGCATGGTGCAGAGGAAGGATATCTCGAAGATAGCCGGATGACTGGAATAGATGTGATCCAGCATGCTAATGAACCAGAACATCAGATCACTGATATAATGTATGGTGCTTTGGGCAAAGAGGGCGCCGGCATCACTGCCATGCTGATGCGAATCGATGATGGCCGCAATCGAGGTGCGCAAGTCGATGGACACCATTACTGTGCGACAGTCGGCGACAATGGCGGCAAACAGATGGGAGGGCACATCCCAGCCGTCGGCCTTCTGGAATGCCTCCAGCGTGGTAGTGAAGATGCGTGACAGTTCGACCCCGACAATCATTGGACTGAGCGGATCGGAGCCGACCTGCGTGAAGAACCATTCTCTCAGGCGAAAGTTAATCTTCTGATGGGATCGTATCGCCTTCAGGGCATCTGGTATATTTATATTGCGATTAGCTGAGATGAGGTCGTGATAGACGATATTGCCATCGTTGATTGAGTCGCCAATCAGATCCCAGGCCACATCTGGCAGCTCCGATACGCTGTGGCATAGACTTGGCATCCTGGCCACCTTATCGGCAACAATCAATGAGATTAACGTACAGGAATTTTTGCCGCTCTGTCGATAATCGCCATAGCGGGATTGGCAAAAGTCCTGTGGAAACCACCAGATGTTCACATTGCCAATTTCCTCATGCTGGGCCATCTTCAGCTGAAGATTTTCTTTTACTTTTGCGCCGCGCCGACTGAATTTGTATTCAGCTCTTGTAACAAAATATATAGATATATATTTATATATACACACATACATACATATATATATATATATATATATATATCGATATATATATATGTATGTACGACCAGTTCGGTATAATGTTCTCGTTTGGGACTGCGGGTTTCTGTCACTTTTTCCTACGAACTCAAGAGATTGCTCTCGTTAACTGATAAAACATGAAATATTGGTTTTGTTTAGAGTCAGGGTATCGAAACATATACGAAATTTAATTTTGAAGACCAAGGGAAAAAGGATTCCTACAAATATACTTATATATACTGTATTTAGACAGAAAACTATATGACATATCGAATTCGGATTGTGACTTGATTGATCTGTGAACAGATTTGAGCTAAGCAGTTATAGAACAACTCCATAGGCCAATCAATGTAATACATAAACAAATAAATCATAGTCAGTATATATAAAATGACTCTCGCTGCATATATAATCAAGACTGTTCAGTTCCTTTGGTCATATATATTTTATCTTTATTATAGCCAGGGTATATGTATGATCACAATTAAAGAAAATGGATTACATAAGGAACTTTTCCAGAACCTATTCTCAGTCTCAGTCTCAGTTGTCGATCGGTCGCGAAACTCTAAAAAGCTTCAGGTTAACAAACATTAAAATAATCTTAAAACTACTAGCGAAATACACTAGATAGGAATGAGTGCCAAAGGATTCTAACAGAATTCTACCATCTAATGTCCTGCCCATAATCGTATTTAGCTCTTCTTCAGTCTTCTTTTGTCGTGCTTAACAAGGTTAAATACCGAAAGAGATAAAAATAAACAAAAAAATAACAACTTGAAAACACTAATGCTCTGCCTTAATGGCCTTCAACTGGAATTGCTTCCAGCTTGCTCTGCATATCGATATCGTTCATCAGGGGCCGTCCATGGACCAGAACCTTGGCACGCACAGTCTTGCAGCCGGATACCTTGACATTTGTTGTATTGACCATGTCTTCGAAATGTTGTTCATCTAAAATCAGGCCCAACAGTCGCTCCTCATGCCGCACACACTTCTCCAGATCTTGGGGCCCAAACATACGATAGACAATCGTCTCTGTTGCCTCTATCTGTTGCAACATCTTCAATTGCTCGTTGTAGTGCTCCTCCGGGAGCATGCTATTCACATTGAATACATAGATGATGGTCAGCAGCTTCTTGTCGGGATCGTTGGTGCCATTGGCCACATCTGAGTTAGAGAGTACCAGGCCATTTATTGATGTCACATAGTCTAAGTCGCACACGGCCATGTTGTCAATAACGATCAAGTTGCGACCGCAATGGGCGAGATTGCGCAACATTTTCCATACGGCCTTATAGCGTGCGTCGTTATCAATGAGCTCATAGTCGTTCCATGCAATGGTCTGAACATTCTCCGGCCACGGATATGTTTCAATCAGTTTGCGTATTGTCAGGGTCTTGCCCACGCCTGAAGTGCCGACTAGCGCAATGGGCTGAAAGCTCTGGTTGGCCAATGCCTGTTCGAGTTGCTTCAGCGCCAACTCCTGATTGATAACAGCGTCATGAATGTTCTCAAATATATCATGCAAAGGCATGGTGCGGTCGCAATAGTTGAACTTATTGTGCACTGTGGCCTGGTATTGTGCAGTGTAACGCAGCATGAACTTCGAGACGATGTCAGTGTTTTGATAAACTGTGATACCGAAGCTGAAGCCTAAGACTAAGAGCATTGGCACAAATGAGTATATGGAATATGGCCAAACCTTCGGTTTCACATCCTTGCGACGTGTTGAATCTACGGCGCAATTCTTATCAGACCAAAATAGACGACGCAGACGACGACGACTCCATTGGCGCTGCAAATTGGTGCACAAATTTGTTTGCAAATAATTTGTGCTCAATTGTACTGAGCGACGCTTTAAGAATGAGCGACTTCTAGCCTTTTGGGCCTTGACGTCAAATGCGTCTCTTGGTGGTCTCTTTTCTGTCTCTGCGATCCCCATTTCGTTTGGTTTTAAATTTAGAAGAAAACTGTTTAACAGCGGAAAGCCGAGGATTTCAATTTGTTGTAGTATTGATCGTAAGCTAAAAAGAAATATCGAAATATCGATGTTTATATCTTTAGAAGCCAAATATAATGAACTAAATATTGTTGTGTAAAAAGGGTTGTGAACTACTCGGATGTAAAAAAAAATGTTAACATGATTTTTCAACTAATATGAAGTAAAGTGATCTTATATGTAAATTCAATAAGGACAATCAAAAGGTTTACTGTTCGCGCCGATACTTCAGCATAGTTTCTTTTACGATACACGTGTCTGCTTGGAGCTAAAATCATCGATTACTCAATGCTCGATACCACTTTTCATCGATGGAACTCGTGTCTGCTTGTCGTGCATGTTTACAAATTGTTGATGGCTGTGAAATAATTAAATGATATGGAGACGTAAGTGAAACAATCAATAGCTTAAAAGTGAATTATGTTAATTTAATTAAATTGCTAGGGTGAATGCCACATACTCGTACATTACCAATTTGGAGGTAATGCAAATTCTACAACAGATAAAAGGTACCAAAAAGAAATGGGGTATGCACAATCTAGCAACCGTCACGTACGAGGCTCTACAGTACCTGGAAGAATCGCCTTGTAAAACACAAACGCGTGAATCAATCAACAGTTACCTGTGCGACTTGGCCACTTATAGGCTGAAGCCCCACGAGCTGCTGCAAATGGTTAATGATCCGCCAACCAGTGCCCTGCATACACAGCTGGTAAGCACAACATTGCTCCATGATATCCTTGATATTCTAAATTATTTATTGCAGCTTATTGACGACAATAAGGTCCCGCTCACCGATGAGGAAAACGAGGCCATAATTGAGCTAACGCATAAGCACTTCTCCAATTCTACCACTGAACCGGTGCAAACCAACCAACAAGCACAAGGATAACAATTGGAGATTAGATCATTTTTTATTTGATGTAATATGCGTATAAAATAAGCACACTTTTTGAGCAGGACAAAAATGACTACTGGCTATTAACTTCCCGATTAACGTTTCTGATCGCCTAAATCCTCGATGACATCTTCATCAATCTCGGCCCACTTATCGGGAATAACATCAAACAACTCATCCTTGACATCGCCCTGAATGACAATTTCATCATCGCCAGTCACTGACGATCCACAGGCAAATTTCGTACCGAAAAACTTGGCAGCCACTTTAAGGTCGATATCTGTTAACGGAAGGGACAATTTGTAAAGTGTTTTATGCATAGTTTTGAGTATAATGTCGCCTACCAAAGGTACTTAGTCCGGTAACCACTGTCACAGACTTCTTTTTGCCGCGGGCAGCACGTGATACACAAATGCGTTTGGGGACATCTTCCTTCTTTTTAACTCGCAGCAGACCTTTGCCGCCCCGCTTCTGTCGCTTCTTGTCATCGTCTGTGCCATCAGCTGCTGCCTGCTCTTCCTCGATTTTCAGTCGCTCGAAATCATCGGGCAGATTACGTTCCAACCAATCCTTGCATTTGTCGTATTCGGGATAGTATTCGCAATACTGCAAAAACAATTGCTTAAAGGACAGATGCACATAGGGAATGGGCTTAGTTCACTTACCTCTATTGGCATGCTGCAGTGCCCGCAATATTTCATGACTATTGGATAAGTGACATTTTCACGCGGGCCGACCTTAAGCCGCTCAGCAACATTTGTGTTTTCATTTGTCATTTCCCAAATTTATTTACTGTTAAATTGTACAAAATAAGTTGCAATGGAGGCAATTTTACAAAGAAACGACGAAAGCACGAGTATCGAAGCTATCGATGTTCGATGAAAACAATACCCGGCAATCGGCACTTGTCAGCTAAAATCCGGCCTTGCCGGACAGCTAGAACTCGATTTTTTTCTTAAAATTTTTTATAGAACAATAGAAATAATTGTTACCACGAATTATCTTATATTGCATATACATTTTCCGAAATGTTATAACTGAATCTTTGTTTTGATATAACGACATTAAAGTGGCAACTTCTTAGTCACCATTAAGATTCTTATTGGAGACACTGTCTTTGCCGTTACAGTTGAATAATTGAATTGTAAATAAATTGTGGTTTCTTAAAATACGTATTTGATATTTTAGTTGTACATAAAAAACCCATTACATAAAATAATTTATTTTGCAAGCAATTATAATAGTTCATAGATCACCTTGATGGAACCAGTTCATTTCGGACTTTTTGAATGATCAGTGAATCGGTTTTTATGGGAGTGGGGCGATCAGTAATTGCGTCACTATTTAATATTTGATTTAAATTACCAAATTGTATGACAGGCACAATGACCACATGAAATATGAAAATTATTATGTTAAGCGCAATAATACAAGAATGGCTTACGTCTACATATATATGGACCCCACTCAGCTCAACTATATGTAAAGGCTAAATTTTGTGACGTGGTGCGCAGAGAGAGAGAGAGAGAAAGGGAGAGAGTTCAATATCTGCGCATATATATATATATGAGATTACCTTTGGTTAACTCACAATCGCGAATGGAAACATATTGTGTGGAAGTGGACTTGCTTGATTGTCAAAAATCTGTAAAATGCGATGAGCGTGGCAGGTGCAATCAATAACAATGCACTCCCACACAAATGAAGGCATCAGCCCCGGCAGCACCGAAGGAAAAATACGCTGCATTTTCCTAAGCGAATTCCATGCAACGGCTGGCTGCAAAATCAGCTGTCAGGTACGCAGCTAACAATAACAATAACAATCACAATCACAACAATAATACTAAGAAGTGAAACAACATTCTCTTGTTAACAGGTGCCAGAGAATTACATTTCCAAAGAGGTATTCGATGCCATCAATGTTTACATTATACCCAAGCAGCATCTGCAACGCTGTATTCTAACAGTGAATGCGATGGAGGTGAAAATCGTTGGCTATCCGGTTGGCATACAGGACCAGCAGAAATATGCGCGCAATGCGTTTCTCTTTAATCTATGCTTCGTTTGCGATTCGCGTGCCCGGTCCGTGCAATATGAGCCCGTTGTGAAGAAGCTGTCCGAATATTTGATTATGATGGAGGAGGAATCGTGCTTCTTGTCCCGCGAAGACGATAAGCTGCGTCTACAGAACATCTTTGAAACGGTGCTGCGGGATCTGAATGAGCGCAAAGTGGCGACCATCGTTGAAGGCGACAATACAATATATTTAAAGATTGTGATGCATAAGCCAGATCCACCGCCAGTCAAAGATCACATGGTGCCCTTGTTGCTAGCCAATCTACGTGATACACCGCTCGAAAACTGGGACCTAACCACACAGCAGGTAGTGTGAGAACACATATCTAAAAAGATACAGATTTATACTGCAACTTGCTTCCAGATATTACCTTATATCAATGGCATTAATCACGTAGCCCGCATAGCAGCTGAGGCAGATGTGGAAACGGATCTGGTCAAGTCGTGCATACAGAATTTGGTTTATTACGGCGTTGTGCAATTGCTGCCCATATTAAAATATAGCAATGTCTACATGACACAGAACCTTAAGCACCTCATACAGAGCACAGCGTTGAGCAATGCCTGTCGCAAGTACGTGGCACTCCAGCCAGATAAACTCCTGCCCAGCGTCCAGAGAATCTTTCAATTCTATGCATCCATGACGCACGGCGTTACGCTTCGTGCCATATGCCAGCGGCTCTGTCCGCAGCATCATAACATTGATGAGCGCAAGATGGTTATCTTTGGATTGCAGCATAAGTTTATACGCTGCATACAAAAGTATCCGGTTTTTACCGGATCGGTTCCATCGGGTCGCCAAAAGATGTACACGGGTCTGATTAGTTTCGATGAGATTTGCTGCAAGACTGGCCTCTCGCCGTTCACCATCGAGAAGGATATTGAAAAGGATACGAATGTGACTGTGATTTGGAAGTAGTTCAATGCCTCTCGTCTTATATGTTTCAATTGTAAATCGTCTGAACCGTTTTTATGTGTAGCTTATATTGATAATTATGTTTCCATTCTTTACAAATTGTTTGTTAAATCTTGAGGAGGAAATGAAGCAGAGCTAATGCCAACTGCATAGTGCTGAATCTGAATATTAAATAAATAAGCAGAATTGTTAAAATATTAATTATTAGGGGTTTTCCTTTTACACAACAAATAGATCAAGCACAAAAGCATATCCCTTCTCTTTCATAGCCCCCCGTAAAATGTTATCTAGAATTACTAATTTTAAAAGCTCTATTAAATGTATATTAAAAAGATTAAATATTCGAACAAATAAAAGACAATATATTAGAATATTACGTCTAGCATTTTCAGTTTGTTTTGACGGCTTCTAATGTGATCAGCATACTGTGCATTGAGCCCGCGTTCGAACGGTTGCCTAATCAGCTGTTTGGCTTGGTGTTGTGACGTCACAGCGTGAGTAAGTGCTACATTAAGCATCTATGCATGTGCGAGCGAGCAAGCGATAGAACAGATAGAACAAGAGAAACCGGCAATAACCAGAGAAATGTTAAAATAGCCACGATCTCTGGCACTGGCCACGTTCTGAAATGTTTTGGCGTTATTAAAACATTTTTCGTGGTGGCATTGGGACAAACCTAATAATTCTACAGACACGCACACAACGCCACTGCCTACGTTGCTTGGCATATAAATACATGTATGTGTGTGCATGTGCGAGCATGTGTATGTCTATGAGTGAGACACTTTATTCGCCGCTTTGGCAAAATTCTGGCATTGTTGTTCACATTTGCAGCAGCAGCAGCGGCGACGCCTCATCATAAATAATGTCTGAAGATGCGAAGAGTAAGTGGTGCACAGATATGATATACAAATATGTATATATATATATACATATGTATATATATGTAAATAAATAAATATCTAACTGTTTATTGTTCCAGGTCCACGCACCCGAAACATTATTGAAAATCAACTATTCCGTCGCCAGCGCAGTTTAAAGCTTGAGGCGCTGCAGAGGCAGCGCTCGCAATATGGCACCATCGACGTCATCAACGACGACGACGAAGAAGCGGAGACATTTGGCAAGGTTAGTCTGTGTGCAATAATAAATAATTATATGATATATGCTTGGCATGACTACAGGTATTTCATATCTCTTGCAGACTTACATAGTTATCATATTCACGGAGAAGGCCAAGCTGCGCCACTGCCAGGATGTGGAGAAGATCATTCAGGAGTTTGGCATACAGACCACACTGGAAATAGTTAGGTAAGCGTCCAGTCTACTCCCATGCCATTGTCATCTATTTAACAATTTGGTATAATATTCTAGCAAAACCGAAAAGTATTTGTATCTGTCCGCCAGTTTGGATACGTTGCTTCGTTTGGCCGACGCCGCCGAACTGGAGAAGATGACAACGACGGGCAGCATGCAAAAGTTTAACTATGGCTGCGTCTCCGACTTTCTACTGCCGGGCATGACCCAGGAGCAAATACTGCACTACTGCGAGACGCCGGTGCTGATCAAGGATGTCGTGGAGCCGCCTATAAGATCCTACATACAGAAAGGTTACATCGAGGACATGTTTCCATTGCATGATATTGTATGTAGTGCTCATGTGCCATACCTTCGTATGCTGTTCATCTCTGTTATTCAAAGCATCTCGCCTAGAATCCAATTTCCATTTAATCTTCCAGCTCTATTTGGATCGATTCAATCTCAACCTGAAGCGCACAACGTTGCCCATTGAGGAAATACGCAATTACTTTGGCTCCAGCATTGGCCTGTACTTTGCCTTCATTGAGTTCTATACGAAGGCCCTGATCTTTCCGGCTGTATTTGGCATACTGCAATCCCTGATGACTCTCAATCTGTCGCTCGTATGCAGCTTCTATGTGGTCTGGACAACGGTGAGTGGGTAAATCTTGATTTTCATTTCAATTCAATTTTCTTTGCCGTCTTATCTTAGATATTTTTGGAGCTGTGGAAACGTAGATGCGCCGGGCTATCCTATCGCTGGGGCACCATTGAGATGAGCAGTTTGGATAAGCCGCGCGCCGCATACCAGGGCCAAATGAAGCCAGATCCGATAACGGGCAAGATGACTCTACACTATCCTATGCGCTATACGTACTTGCAAATGTATTGCATTTCGTATCCGGTGGTGCTTGGCTGTGTGGTGGCTGCCGCCTGGTTTGCCCTCTATCAGTTCCAGATCGAGGCGGAGGTCTTGGCCGATTTCGGTGCAGACTCGTGGCTGCTGTATATCCCAGTCATTGTGCAGTCCATGTTGATAGCAATCTTTTCATGGGCGTACGAGAAGCTTGCCACATTCCTAACCAACCTGGAGAATCATCGCACAAGGTCGCAGTACGAGCGACATCGAGTCAACAAGCTGATGCTGTTCGAGATTGTCAATAATTTCTTCTCGCAGTTCTATATTGCGTTCGTGTTGCAGGATCTCAAGCAGCTGAAATACCAGCTGATGATGCAGTTGCTGATCTTTCAGCTGGTGTGCATAGCCCAGGAAATCGGCATACCATTGATGGCTGTGCTGCGACAGAAGTATGCCAAGTATCGCCACAAAGAGATCGAACCAGAGAAGCTGCGTGGTATCAGCAATAAGCCACGTTACGAGCAATCATTTTACGAATCCGGCCTGGATGCCTACCATTCCACCTATGAGGACTATCTGCAGGTCTGCATACAGTTTGGCTATGTGGTGCTCTTTGCGGCCGTGGCGCCCTTTGCCGCCATCGGCGCCTTCATCAACAACGTATTCGCCGTTCACATTGACATGTTTAAGCTGTGCAACATCTTCAAGCGTCCGTTTGCGCGCCGTGCCAAAAACATTGGCGCCTGGCAGCTGGCTTTCGAGCTGCTGTCGGTCATGTCGCTGTTGAGCAACTGCGGCCTGCTCTTCCTTCAGCCGAATGTCAAGTAAGTAAAGCTATATTTGACTATGTATGACTTTTTAATAATACGTTGGCTCCACTTGATAGACAATTCTTTTCGCACTGGCTGCCCTCCATACCGGATCTGTCGTTTGTCATCTTCGAGCATCTGCTGCTGGGCCTCAAGTTTCTCATACACAAGGTGATTCACGAGCGTCCGCGCTGGGTGCGCATCGGCTTGCTGAAGGCTGACTTTGAGACCAGCCAGGCGCTGAAGCAGCTCAAGTAAGATCTGTAACCGCACCACTATGAGCAACCATTTGACACTTCTCTCCTCTATTCGTTTAGGAAATTCAAAGCTGCCAACAAAATGGCCTAGCATTTGTCAGCAGACGGTGCTATCGGCTCTATCAGCTATCAGGCAGGCCGACAGCATGCGACAGCCCCAGACATCAACGAGAACCAGTCCATTTACATACAAATGTAGCTAATTTACGTATACTTAAATGCTTTTATTGTAAATCTCTCAACCAATGGTGCCTTGAATACTTGAGTCTCCACTCATATTTATGTATATTCTAAAACATTTAACGTACCTAATTGCTTAAATGCATATATAAACAATAATGAAATTAAATGCGAATTTCTTTCTTAGCATGACATCTGCATGGGAGAGATCAGTTAGCGTAAAGTCTTAGTATAATATATAATATATCTATGAGTATGTGTGTATATATGTCTAATCTCTAGATTAAGTTGTATATCTGTAGATGGCTTCGCTGGTGTTAAGTGGATGAACTGTTTAATGGAAGAGAAAGAGAGAGAGAGAGAGAGAACATTTAGTTAATTATAGATCACGTTCGAGTGAACAAGTTTTACGTTTTGATGCAAAATGAAGATAAGGAAAGATCTTAAGAGTCAGATATTAAGTATATATAGATATTATAATATAGATATTAAGTATATATGTAGAAATCTTTTAAGTGCAAGTCTGCGACATACCTTAGGCCGGTTCGCGCTTAGCTAACTCTGCGAAAGTGCTTGAAGGAGAGAAAGGCGTCGATGGCATGCAGCAGACCTGCTGCGTAGCCCATGTACTGCATAAAGTAAAATAGCTTATAATCATAGATATCACAACTGAGTGACACTTACGTAGGCGGCGGTCATGGCTGGATATGCCCAGAAGCCGGGACGCACTAGAAACTGTGGATGCAGCCACACAACGCAGGCGAAGCCCATGTAGCTGGCTGAGCTGAAGTACATACAGCTGGCCAGGCCATGGAACAGTGTTTCCTGCCAATGCAAATGTTTTAGGCTATATATATATAGATGGATATAGATCCAGATACTCACAAAGAGCGACTGCCGTATGAGTCCATAAGACTTATCCGAGAAGCAATAGCAGAGGAGCAATATGCCAGTTGTGGTAAAGCAATGGCCCGTTGTGGCCAAGAAGCTGGTTAGAGCCTGACCAATGGAATCAGCATATGGCACACCATACCGTATCAGCAGTCCCTCACACAGCGTGGCCAGGCCGAGCTGCATCAACTTGAGCAGGCCGCCCGGCGAGAGCACAAAGCCAAAATTGATGCAGGTACAAATGCGACAGCAACAGACCCGAATGCCCAGCGGCTGATTCATTCGCCGTACGCCGAGTGAAGCCATCGATGCTGCACGCCGATTCGTAAGATACTAACACACGCATTGTGCCTGCAGCACCACAGATGTTGCGGATGCAGCGCGTCTATAAATAGCGCTGCTTGCCCCCAGCGATGTCTGCGGCAACAGCTGCACAGTGGTTCGAGTCTCTCCTTAAATGCTCGAAAATTCCCAATTGACTTCTGTTTACTCATTTTGTTCTATTTATAAGTATTTATCTAGAATTGAGTTTACTTTATTTTTGTATATATTACTATCTCTTGCTCACACTTTTAGTTTCTCTATTTCTCTTTCTCTATCAGAGCGAGAGAGAGAGAGGGGGGGGAAGTCTCTCATCTTTTCCAGTCTCTCAGTTTTTCTCCTTATCCCGCTCTATCTCACTTTTTCTATCGCTCTCTTTGTCTCTGCCCCTCTCAATTTCTCTCACTTCGTCTCAGCCTCTCACTCTCTCTCTGTCCTTCTTAACCACTCTCTTTTTCGTCTCTCTCTCTCTCTCTCTCTCGCTTGCTTGTCCTGCACAGCAAGCAGTGTATTAGCACTCAATCGCCTTAGTTGACAGATGATTTCATCATATACGACATACGATATATAGATCGAAACAAATTAACATTTCGGCCCTTCTCGAAAATCAAAATTTCCGTTTTGCCAACGCACATAATTCAGCGCCATGTGCATGCCGTACTTGGGTAAACTGTTTGGCGGCGGAAGACGCCGGCGGAACAATGCAACTGAGACACCGCGGCCAAGTCTGGCCCCGACGCCACAACAATCGAACGCAACCATCCAGACGACGGGGGCCACAGCTATGACCGCCACGAAGAAGGAATCTATGCAGCCTATGAAGTCCGCTGTCAACACTGCAGCGCAGCGATCACGATCAGCTGTAGTTCTGAAGAATGAGGCATCCAGAGCCCTTGCAGTCAATGCCAGCCTTAATCAGGCAGTCCCAGATACGACTACTACACCTGTTGCCGCTGCAGACGCACCAACCAGGACGACCACCTGGTGGGAATACCTCGGTATTAATAGAAACAAAAAGACTAGCATCAATTCGCTTTAGCATCAAGAAAACAGTTCACAATATTATGTTCAACGCTCAGGTTTCGAATTCAATTCGGATTCGAATTTTCATGCTGACATTATTTGGACAACGGCCGAGATAATAAGAATAAGACAAAGCCCGATAACCCATTAAAATCCCCCCAACAACGTCGCACGTCGAGTGTTGGGAATATCAATTAAAATTCTATTTCTCTTTCATTATTCTTTGGCTCGGAGTCGATTTTAGGTGTATTGTGAATTAAGGCAGTTGCGCTCATCATATAAAAGGTAGCATACTTTTTGGAGCTCATCAAAGAGCTGTTTTCTAGGTCAAACTTGAAAATTTTCATTCAACATTTTCTAGATCTCGAAGCGATAGCAAGATGCGTGTGCGTTCGAAAACTTTTCACTGGCAGTGTATATACGTTGTATTCAAGCTATTAGACACAAGTATTTGGCAAGTGCTGTTTGGAAAATTACAGTCGAGGCCAAGTAGCAACTTATCAACTTCTGCAGTCGCAAACAAATCAATTTAAAATGTTTCTCTGTGTGTATGTGTGTGCGTGTGTGTGTGCGCGCATGCATAGAATCGCTCGAATTTCAATAACGGCACTTGCGGCACTTTGTGTTCCTTTCCTGTTTAGCGAGCTTTCAAGTCGTGCTTAGCGTGCGATAGAAAGGGAGAGACGGAGCCAAAAGCGAAGATTTAGAGACACGCAAACAATGCAAAAACAAACAGCTATACACACACGCACACATACATGCATACATACATACATATGAATGTTCATATGTCGATGTCGTCGCCGTTGGCGTCGCAGCACAGCGATTAGTGTAATTTATCAGCCGCAACGGCAATTTGTATTTAGTGGGAGTGGGCAAATGTTTAGCAGCTTGGTGCAGGGCGTGTGGGGCGAGGTAAGCTGTTTGACAGTGAAATTAACTTAGCTGTTATCAAAATCAATTATTATTGTCGCCGATGCAACTGCTGTTGCTGCTGCCTGCTACTGTTGCTGCTACTGCGCTGGCGTCACAATAGCTGCTCGTTGACGTCAACGTCAGCATTAGCTAACTGTAGCCTAACGAAGCATCTGTGATGCGTCAGAATGTTGTAACAGTTGTAACCGTTGCATACCCACGCAGCCTAATGTGCATGCATACACACTTTTTTAGTTACACAGTTTGCTGGACTCTGACAGTTATCTAAAGATGGCATTTTACGAATTGCCAATTCTGTCACGATTCTTGCACGTGCAGCTGCAACGCAGGCGCCGCAGCTTTAGCTTAAAGCAATGCGGAAGTGAAGCGTATTTATCGATTAATTTGAATATCAATTAATGACGGACTCTCATGGGCAGGTATCGTTATAAACGATAAGCGATAACTCTTAACGGCCAATGCTGATTTGAATAAATAATACAAGCAAATAAAAAAAATGTAAAAAAATAAAATGAAAATGAAGAAAAACAATGCAAGCAAATAAATAGCGCAAAACATTTATTTTTCTCTTCTCGAGAGCCGTTTTATGAACCTACGTATGTTTCTGGGCACAAATGTACTATATAGAAAACGTATATGCGATATAGTCGCTCATTTATTTCGAGAAGAAGGCAAATCTAATTTAAACAACAACAAAAAATACAACAAAATATTTAGTACGAACATTTCTGTGTGCGCATTGAGGCTGATGCCGTCGAGGCGGAGAGTGTTTAAATGCCGACAAAAATCGATGTGTTTTTATATATTGTGTTCAGATGAAAAATATATATATTTTTTGAAAACATTTTGTGAATTCCTGCTTTATTGACATCAAAAATAAGATAAAGATAAAGAAACAGAAACAGAGAACAACTCGAGAGATTTTGCACGTCTTTCAATTAAAATTACAAGTGCGACTTGCTTAAACAATGTTGACAAATTTCTTGTTCGCTATCCGAAGTCAATAACAAGAACAATAACAATAATATAAAGATCTTTTAACTTATAATAAACAGCATTTGACTTAACCAAGACACAATAAATAATTGTATTTAAATATATTCCCATAAACAACGCAATTTAAAGGTTGGTATTTGGCATGTTTGCTATATATATATATATATATATATATATGTGTGTATACACATATATATATACATTCTCTGAAAGCGGGTGAGACAATTTTCCAAACAAATTCCCAGAAGAGATGTTCCAATAGAGCGTACTACGCATTAAGATTGAAGATGGGCTGATGCGACTTTCACTGCTATTCCACACGCTGAGTATAAATGAATTTTAATACTCGCTCACATATAAAGAAACGAGTATATGGCCTTTTTGCTTTCTTTATCAATCAAAAAAAAAAGAGAGATAGAAAGAGAGAGAATGACATAGAGAAAGGGAGGGAGAGCAACAGAGATATATATATATATAGAGAGAGAGAAATAGGTTTAGATCTTTTACAGTTAACAGAACATAATAATAGCATAATAATAATAAATAGATTAAATATATGTATAAGTAAATTAGAAAAGATTTTGACTTTTGCTGTTGAGCGCGAACGAGTATTAGGCAGTCGGTAGCAATGTTGTTCTGCTCTGTTTTCCTTGACGTCATGGATCTATTTATATCTCTCGGTGTATATAGGAATGTGTTTTGTTTTCGAAATAGACAAAAAAAGATTTAGAAGCCCGTAGCTGTTAGAGATGAATTGTAGAACAAAACAAATTATATTTCATTAAGTAGTTACACTTTCGACCAGCTGTAAAAAAATAAAAAAGTTTAGTGGGTTTTTCATGCAGCATCAAGAGTAATTATTATTGTTTTTACTTTTTTGCTATCAGGAACTGAGATGAATGCAGTAGCTAAATGACAGATGTTAATTGACATCTGGATAAGCTAGCTATTATTTAACATCCTGAATAGAGTCGCCGTCAGTCGTGAGGTAGTCTCACATATAACTACGTCTATAAATGTATGTGATTCTATCTGAGATACTTTAATTATATAATGTTCTAAACAAATAAACAACCAGCGGAAAGTGCAATGGATGTAATGTTTAATTAGCATCTGCTTTTGATTTTGCTTTTACTTTTGCTTTTACTCTTGCCTTTGCCTTTGCTGTGAAATCGAGAAAATAGAAAACTCATGCCTCTGCTTGGCATTGTTGGGGCAAATGGAACTGTAAACATTTGTTGTTTATCTCTGAGTGTGCTCGGTACCCATGCTCCATCAATAACAACAACAACAAATTATATCTACAATTTATTATTACTAAAGTAACTTTAAGCAATATATAAAGAAAATAGCTTTCAAATTGTATTTCAGTTGAAGTGCAATGTGCATAGAGCATTTAAATCCAAAATTAATTAATTTATTTTGTCTTATTTTGCCAAAGTTCAGCAAACAAATTCCAAGTTGAATTAAAGTTTTTTTTTATATTTTCAAAACTTTATTTACAGTAGAAATTCAGGATAATGCAGAGCAGACTCTAGTTGGACGAGTACGATTAGTAGATACCCTGTATTCCCTTAAATGTTAGACGAGCTCGACTAGTAGATACCAGATACTTTCTTAAATGTTAAGGGCTAAAGCAACTCGGCTTTCGATCTGCATAAGAGCCTCTGCAGTCTATGTGATATGCCGCGCCTACTTCTAGCTTTTACTATCTTGTTGACTTTCAACTCAACTTTCCTCCCCAATCGATCTTTGGCAGCATCAAAATATTATAAATACTATCAAACTCTCATCAAATGCTTAGCAAATTGCTTTGAATCATCCCCATCGCCTAGCTCAGCTGGTGCTTGCCTCTTTGATTTGGCTTTTTCCAGTTAAGACTCTTGTTGGCCAAGCCCGAGTAGTTGGCAGGTGAGTGGAAGCGGAATGGACAAATAACCCGGAACAGGTGTTTGCCCAGGTACGAATAATTGAATATTGAATTAATGTAGGCGCAAACGAGGAACAAGCAGGTAACAATACATTTGTTGCGCTTATCAGTTGGCTGGAAATCGAAAACTCTTGTTACACTCGACGTCATCGCGTTCCACATGTCGTATGAGTAATGTTCAGTCGCAAGTGCTGCTCGCTTGGCTGCCACATAAATGGCTGTGTGGAGCAGACTTGTCGCTTGACATTGAATTGTCGCATCGCTTTCATTTGCTCGCGTACATGTCGCAACGTCAGCTCCAATTTCATTGCGTTTAATTCGATTTAAGCTCATTAAACAAAATCGTTCGGAGAGTCGAGTTTAAGTTCGCATTCGGAGCAAGCCGTCGACCAGCTGTCTGCAGTTCCGAATACAATTTCGAATATGATATGAAATATAATTCCGAATATGATTCCGAATATGATATATATGATTCCGAATGTAATTCCGAATACGATTCCGAATGCAACCCTGAACATGATTCCGAATCCGATTCCGAAAATAATTGTGAATATAATCCGAATATGGCTCCGAATAGAATTTAGATTATATTTCCGAATATAATTGCAAATATAATTCCGAATAGAATATTATTCCGAAGACAGCTCGGAATATAATTCCGAATACAATTCCGAACACAGCTCGGAATAAAATTCCGAATATGACTTCGAATATAATTCCAAACAAAATTACGAATATGATTCCGAATACAATTCCGCAAAGAATTCCGTATATAATTCCGTATATAATTCCGAATATAATTCCAACATAATTCCGAATATATTTCCAATTTTAAATCGCAGTTCCATTCCGTCAGACGTTTGTTGGCTTGCAACGTCTAAGTCTAAGTCGACGCCGACGCAGACGTCGAAGTCAGCGTCGCTGTTGCCGTCGCTTGCTTTTGGCGCAATCGAAAGTTACGTTTGGGCTTTACGTAGCCCGCATTAGTCGTACGCTGAGTGTCGTCGACGTCAGTTCACAGTTTCAATTTTGAAAGATCCCAAAAATCGCCGAACCAAAAACTAAGAAAAAAAATGTAAGCAAACATTTAGTGCCGAAGGACTTCAGTGTTTTCGAGTTGAACCAAGAATTTGGAAGTTATGACAAGCGTCAGTGCAACATCAAGAACTTCATGGACCCACCTCGTACTTCTCTCAAGTGTGTCTGTCTGAAGCCTCGCGCAATTATGTAGAAAGTAGTTGAATAGCCGAAGCCTAAGGCGAAGCAGAATCAATGCTTGTTTTTTGCAAGTCAGGCAGACCCTATGGAGGAAGTGTGGAACAATAACAACTTCTGATTATGAATTCATTTAATCGAGAAGAAATTGTCTTTTAATTTTGATTGTCGTGCGTCTTGAATCAAAAGCAATTTCTGAAACCTTGTCAATCTCTAAAGGAAATTAGCAGCTATAGATTGGCTGTGTGTGTATGTGTGTGTGCGTGTGTGTATTCGCTATATAATCAAATGTATATGATTTGTTTTGGTTGTCAAGTTTTTTATTGGATTAGCCATCATTTGTTCGACCAAGCGAGCTGTGCAATTGCCAATTTACTAATTTTAGCATATTTATGACATCTGCTCTTAGTATGTATATATATATATATATATATATAAGCCGGGCATGTGACTGTGCTTCCACATCATTTCCATTTCCATTTCCATCACCACTTCCACTTCCACTTCCACTCCCAATCCCGTTCTGTTATTTATAACTATTAATTCGTGCAATTAACTTGCAAATCGCTGCAAACAAACAGCTGATTAAGTGAATCAAACTATAAATAAAAAGCAAGTAAAAACAGACAGATCACAAAAGAAATAAATAAAATGTCAATTTTTACGGCTATTAAGCTCGAGCTCGCATTCCTCCAATAATTTCGTCTGTTGTCATGCAATCAGCCTGCCCAGTCCATTTCCCAGCGTTCCTCCCAGTCAGGAAGGAGGCTTCCCATCGGAGATGTGCGTTTAGTTGGGCTTTGCATATACAATAATGTATATGTATGTAAGTCCGTTATATAACAACTTACATATAAATATATACACATATATATGCCCTATTTGAGTACATTTAACGATTTCGATAGTTATTTTATTTAAATGCTAATCAAGCAGTTGCCATAAAGAAGAAAAAAAATAATGAACACAGATGAACAGAGCTGTAAACAGTTAACATTCTGTGCATGTTCTTTTCAGAAGTTCCTCTTTCCGCATCAGTTTTTGTTCTTGATTTTTGCAAATTTTAGAAATTCTATAAGCATCTCCATATACATATACGAACAATAAAGAAGAAGAAAAACGTCTATAAATAAATATAAACATATATGTATGCATATATGTACATATATTTTGTTGATATGACAACTTTTTAAGCCACTCTCGCGTACATTTACAAGCATTCGCCACTATATAACGTACATTGACTTTTTAACTGTATATGTGTGCATGTGTGTGTGCGTGCATGTTTATTTGAGAGGAATTTCGCTTTTCACGCAGAATATATTGGCTTATCTATTCGCGAGGTCTTCAAGTGGCGGCACGTGGCTGCAGACCGAACTGGTTGGGACTCATTTAATTGCTAAATCGTATCACTCACGTGTTCAATAAGTCAAAGATATTTGAAATAAATAATATACATACATGCATACACATATATTTATATATGTATATAGATATAGAGAGATTGTATTGGGAATTAACATAAGTTGGCCATTTCTATGCAAATTACATTTGATTGCAGCTTGTCTCGCTTTGATTGAGTAATCTGTACTTAAATATGCTCACGAGATCGTTTTAATTAGCTATAAATCAATTGCAGCTTAATATTGATATGCAAAAAGCTTTTTACGCACTCGCAAAGCTTCTCGTTCTTGCTAAATTTAACGGAAATATTGGCAAAGCATTGAGAAAGCAAAAGCAAAGAGAAAAGCAAAAACAAACACGTTTCCAATACACTCATTTCAAATGCAGCGTTTCCATTAGCTGTTCGCTTGGCAAGATCTTGACAAATTGCATTTCTTAACACTGCCCCAGCTATTGAGACCTGTATGCTGTTGACTAGTGCTGCTAGACGCTAACTTTCTCAAATTCTTTTATTTTTCGTTTTGTTTTAATTGTTTAAGATCAAGCACTTAGCAATTAAATCTAATTAATTAATGTCATCTAAATCACGGAGAGCGACAACAGCAACAGCAGCGGCAATAAAATTGAAAAACGAAACCGAAACCAACAATCTCGTCAATGTTGTTGTTGCTGTCGCATGGCGATAAGGCCAGATGAAAACATTGGGTAGATCGATTAATTAGCACAAGCTTCAGCTGGGCGTGGCGTGGCTAGACTTGGCTTGGAGTGGGCGAGTAGTCTCCGAGAGATTGGCCAACAATCGGATGGAGTCGAGCGTGACCGTGGCTAGCGGTTGCTGCAACTGGGTTAATATTCAATGCACAAGAGATAGCCACAAAAATCATATTGTTGTTGTTATGTTGTTTGTGTTAATGCAGTTAATAATCTCAGGGTTTTTTATGTATTTCGATTTTTTTGCTTTCCAGCAATTCGCCTCAACTAACAATTTGGAATGGAGCCAAATAGCTATGTGCAGGCCTCGGCGTTGCCCAACAGCAAGCGTTTCGTTGTCGAAGATTCAAGTAAGTGTCAAAGCTCGCTTCCGGCTTAGAAAGTAATTTGTCAAATGGCGGAAATGCGTTGATGTGGTGTAGGCGTTGGCGTCGACGTCGGCGTCGGCTAGTGCCAAATGCGTGCAAAGCTGTACAACAAAACAACAGCAAAAGCTCTAATGCGCCGGCATTCAGCCAGCCAATCACCGATTATAAACAAGTTGAAGTTCAACATCGATTTGGCCCTGAAACACTGAGGCGAATGTGCATCATGAATCAGGCCAAAACCTAGCAGACAGCACGGCATTTGCTTCAAACTAGATCGCTAACCTCTCTCCCGCTCTCTCTCTCTCTCTCTCTCTCCCGCTCTCTGTTGTGTAGTTACTAAGGTGACCTCTGATGGGGAACCGCACGGCATGATGACCATGGTGGCAGGTTTGGCGGGCCTATTAGCAGCCATTATTATATTGGCCGTGCTCGTTTCGATGGTGGCATGTCGCAAGCGTAAATCGTAAGTGAGATTCCACACATTATCCATACGAAGATTCAGTTGAAACGTCTTTTAGCTGTTGTCACACCAGGAAGGCCATGGAGCAGCAAAATCAGAGCCAATCATTGGCCAGCGTTAGTGCCATGGCCGTGGCTATGACCAGCGTCGAGAAGTCACGGCAACAGCTGGGCGGCAATCTGAACGCCGCCTTCGCGGAGAGCACATTGACCCTTAGCGTCGATGTTAAGGATAAGGACAAGGATAACCAATGGCCCACAACGATTGTTGTTCAGCGCTATTAGCGATGTGAAAGCGCTGGGAAAGCACGTGATGTTTGTGAACACAAGAGACTGAGACGCCGTGGTGGCCAACAAAGCCGCCACAGCCAAATAGAATTTTAAGCGAATTATATTATAGAATACATTTTTTTTCATTACTGTTATTTAAATTCGTTGCGATTTCGCCGCACTTTTTTGTGTGCGTGTTGAGCAATGTCAAAAAATGTTATCGATAGCCAAACTATCGGCAGCTAGCCAAGGCAACAACCGATATTGTCGCATTAGTCCGTTATCATTAAAAAGAAAAAACAAACGCATTATTTAGCAATAATTTGTATTTATGTATGCTAACCACATACATACGAAAAAAAGTACAAAAATAGAAAAAATTTGTTGTTAAATCCGTTCAAAGCGCCGTGCTGCGGCAACCAACGACCATAGCCAGCAGCGCCATGCGAATGTACATGCCATACTCCGCCTGCCGGAAATAGGCTGCACGTGGATCCGAGTCGAAGTCACGACTGATCTCCTCGACGCGCGGCAATGGATGCAACACAATGGTCCGTTTATTGGCCCGCGTCATCAACTTGGGCGTCACTATGAAGTGGCCACAGAACTGCAAGCGAAAGAAATGTGGAGCACGGCGTGAGTTTCACGGTCTTTACTCATTCCATTCAGATCATTTTCACTTACGCGTTGATATTCCTCCTCGGTCTGGAAGCGTTCACGCTGTATGCGTGTCATGTAGAGAACATCGGTGGTGGGCAGCGCCTGTTCAATGGTGTCAAAGATTACTTGGGTGACGCCGCGCTCCTGCAGATATCGCATAATCTCCTCGGGCATGCCCAGTCCGTACGGAGCGACATACTGCAGCGTGATATTGTAGAGGGTTAGGAGGCGGGCCAATGAATGGACGGTGCGTCCATTCTTGAGATCGCCGACCATGGTGATTGTCAGGCCGTTGACAGTGCCGATCTCCTCACGTATGGTAAACACGTCCAGCAGCGCCTGCGTGGGGTGCTCACCGACCCCATCGCCGGCATTGATCAGAGGCTTTCGCGAAAACGATGCAGCACGCTGTGGATGGAAAAGACGAATCGATATATTCGCACTTTGATGGATTTACGTAGCTGGGCTTACCGAAACGGCGCCTGGTTCGGGATGACGCAGCACCAGAACATCTGCATAGCTGGCCATCACCTTGATGCTGTCCTCCAGCGTTTCGCCCTTCTTCACCGAAGAGGTGACCTGATCCATGTTGATGACGTGGCCGCCCAGACGCTGCATCGCCGCACTGAAGCTGCACTGGGTGCGTGTGCTCACCTCGTAGAAGATGCTGGCCATGATTTTGCCGCGCAGCAAATCGTCGACGGGTCGATCCTTGGTCACGCGCGACTTCAGCAGCTGCGCCAAGTTGAACAGATCGTTGAGCCGCTCCTTATCGAACGTGTCCACAGAGAGCACATGCTTGCCCACCAAGCAGTGCGCGACGGGCTTCGGCTCCGACAACAGCGAATTCTTTTGCAGATACTCCCTTAGGGTCGCATTGCTGGAGGAGTCGAGGCGCAGGCGTGGCGACGGCGACACCGGACGCAAGAAGCTGCCCGCAGCCGGCGATGTACTCGTGCTGGCCTCATCCACGAAATGGACGGTCGAGGCACGTGAGCCAACGGCGCCGGTGCCTTCGGTCAGGAGGCGCGCAAAGGTGTCGTTGGCATCCATATCGCTGGGCAGTTCGCTGCCTTCCATTTCGGACTTTTGCGGCAGTGGCAGCTTGGCGCGCACATTTTGCCCAAAGCCCGGCTGGACGAGCACCTGGCCATCAATGTAGGCCACCTCGCCGCGCAGCACAACGCGATGAACGCGACCCGTGACCTTGGTGCCATTGAAGGGCGTCCACTGTGCCTTTGTCTTCAGCTCGTTGTTGTTGATGGTCCACTCCTCGTCCAGATCGATCTCCACATACGTCTGCGGCTGCTCGGGCAGATTGAAGATGTTGCGCGGATTGCGATGGAACTTACGCTTAATGTCCTCCAGTGTGAGTCGACCCTCGCTGACGGCCTGCAAGAGCATTGGCAATATGGTCTCCAGGCCGGGGAAGCCGGGCGGCGGTCGCTCCGATTGTTTTTCGGCTAACGTGTGCGGCGCATGGTCAGTGGCAAAGACATCAATATACTCCATGTGCTCCCACAGCGCTTCCTGATCCTCGGGCGAGCAGAGCAACGGTCGCACCTCGGCCATGCCAACGCCCAAGCGCTCCACGTCGCGTGTGCTAAGGAACAGATGATGCGGACACACCTCACAGGTGACACGCAGACCCTTCTCCTTGGCGGCGCGTATCAGCTGAATCTCCTCCTTGCGGGCCACGTGACAAATGTGCACCGGCCGCTCCAGCAGATGGGCCAGCAAAATGACAGCGGCCATACTCTGTCGCTCCGCATGGCAGACGACGGGCGCTCGCTTGGGCCAGCGCGACAGATGACGCTGCCAGGCAGCCATGTCGCTGAGCCTCAACGTGCCGTACGTGTCGTTCAGATACATCTTCAAGCCGCACGCCTGGCTGGCCAGCTCCGAGACATGCTCCCAGTTGGTATCGGAGGCGCCCACATATAGCGCATAGTCGCAGCGAGCGCCAGCGCGCGCCAGCTCGCGGAACTGATTGAACGTCTCTCGGTCCACGATTGAGGGATTCGTATTGGGCATGGCGCAGACCATGGTGACGCCGCCAGCCAAAGCGGCTGCCGTGCCGCTGGCAAAGTCCTCCTTGTGTGTGGCGCCCGGCTCTCGGAGATGCACATGCACGTCTATAAAGCCAGGCAACTTAACAATGCGACGCGATGTCATGCAGTCGGTGTGGGTCTTCATGAGCGGATTGCGGCCAGTCACACGCATCGATTCCACCAGCAGCTTGGTGCACTTGACGTCCGTTACCAGGGGTATGGAATAGTCGACGGCTAGGCGACGTGTCCGATAGCCATGGGTCATGAACGATGAGACCCTGATCATGAAAAGCGCATAGAAAGGCGATTATATATATTATACATACATGTGTATAGATATTTGGATCTAATATTTGTATTCTCCTATAGAGTTCATATGGAGAAATACTCTGGACACTCTGGAGCTTACCTGCGTATGCCGCCGCCACGCATGGGCAAATTGATAACCAGATCGAACTGCTTGGTGGCTAAGAACTCGGCCAAGTGTCGCAGCTCTCCGTTTATGTCATCGGGTGTCGTCTTATCGAATGTCCACTGTACAGACTCCACCTGCAAATGACAAGAATTTCGTATTTTATAATGCAAGCACAGGGCCTCAAGGCCAAATCATGCAGCCATTAGCCATTAGCTGGCAAATGTTTGCCTAGCGCATATAAAGATATTGGATCTTTATGGAGCTACATGATAATGCACTCGTATGTGGACAATAATGGCTATAAATAAATGTAAACAGTGCACAGTGCAACCTGGCTGGCGGCGAGAAGTGCATACCTTCTAATAGCTATCGGTTATCGATCAATGTTATCGATCGCGCTCAATTTAGAAACAATCTATGTATAGATTATATTTATAAATAGAATACGAAAAGCGAAAAGAAAAGCACAGGCCACTTCGATAACACTTATCGATAACAATTATCGAAGTCGTGTAATCGCCGTTACTTAATACAGTTCCGTATTACGCTGCAGCAGTTGCGAAACCAGATCTGTAGATCTCCTTTCTCATTTCTAATGTATTCTGATAAATGTTTACAAAGTAGATTTACTAATCGCATTATTATATAGTCCATTAGGCTCGGAAAAAAACACAACAATTAGAGAAAAATATTTTAAAAAATATACAAAAAAAAACCCCTATTCAAATTAGTTCTTGGTACTATATATAATATATCATATCGATTTGCTTGATATCTGAGCTAAATATGGAGATTTACGACTTTTTGTTTTTGGATTAATAATTCACTTTTTAACTAGATTTATATGGATATAGGCATGGCTGTCATAACTGGGTTAAAAGTAGTTCCCACGATCATTGCTGTAAACCAGTCTCAGATTACATAGGCAGTATTTAGGTAAATAGTTATACGATTGCGTAGCTATACAACTACACAGTGAATCGAGTCTGGGAATCAATTTTTACTCTAATATAACTAATCTAGTCGAAAACTCTTATTACTTTCACTTTATTTCGATTTCCTACAAATGGAAATTGTTTTTATTTATTTTAGCACATTTTGCTGGCATTGCCCCACTGTGCCTGTGCCGTTCGCATGCGTCTTTTGTGGCCATTGTCGTGTTTACACGACAGAAAGCTTGATAACAATGCCTCCACTTGACTGGCCGGAAGCGTAGGAAGAAGCAACACTTGTCGCGGATTGGTTGCTCTTGTTGTTGTTGTTGTTATGCGCGCTGCAATGGTGTGTAAAACGGGCATATTGGTTTTGCGCTCTGCTCACTTGAGATCGATAACAATCGATAACGATCGAGGTCAGATGAACGAGAAAAGTTAAATGGCATAAGAAAAGACAATGGAGAGCGGGGAGAAAGGAAGGAAATGGGAAGTGAAATGATTGATGTAGATAGACAAGGGAAGAGGGAAGAATAGTGAAGAGGGAACTAAGAGACAAGAGAGAAGATAGAAGACAGAAGCTGAAGTGAAATGATTGAAGTAGATAGAAGATAGAATAGGGAAGAGACAAGCGAGACAAGAGAGAAGATAGAAGATAGAAGACAGAAGCTGAAATTAATGAAGAGATAAAGGAGAGAATATAAGAGAATAATATATAATATAAAGAGACAAGAAATGAGAGATAAGAGCTAAGAGATAAGAGACAAAGAAGAGAGAATAGGAAAGAGCCAAGTGACAAGCGAGACAGGAGGCAAGAGAGAAGCTGAAGTGAAACGAAGAGGAGACAACAGATGCGAACTAAGAGGTAAGAGGTAAGAGATAAGAGAGAAGATAGAAGACAGAAGCAAGATGATATAAGAAATAATACATATAAGACGAGAGAGAAAGGAAGAAGACGAGCAGAGAAGAGACTCCATCTGGCAAAGCTTGTGAACGAGCATGGGGTAATCGCTGAAACCCGACTGCAACATGTTTAATTGTTGTTATGAGTCTCTGCTGATCTTATCTAGGCAACCATCAGCGGCAACGACAACGACAACGACAACGACAACGACATCGACGACACTGGCATTGGTAAGCAAATGGAATTTGATCAGTTTCGATCAGTTTTGATCGATATCAGCTAGGAAGCAGTAACTCACTCCCAGGCAAGACACAATTAATGGGCTGCAACTGGTCCAAGACGCAGGACAGCGAAACGCTGCCCAATCCGTTGCAGCAGCTGCAGGCAGCTGAGGCGCCGCAGCTGCAATCGCAGCAGCGTCGCCGCCAGGAGGAGAAGCGTCAACGGCAGCTGGCCAAGCTGCAGAAGCGCAACGCGCGCAAGCGTCGACATCAACGAGGCGTCGGCAGCGACTCGAAGGCCAAGTCAAAGACCAAGGCAAATGGCAACGGCCCGCGGGGCAGTCTGCGTGGCAGCAACGGCAACGCCGGCAGCATTCGTGGCAGCCACAATTTGGCACCTCAGCTGCGTCTGCTCGGCGGCAGCAACGGCAGCAGCGCCACGGAATGCGTCAGCGCTCTCTATGCACGCACGCTGGAGCAGCAGCGCGAGGAGCACCAGCGCATCATCGAGCAGAAGACACAGTATCAGCTGGAGCGCCAGCTGCACACGTTCCTGCTCAACCAGCTGCTGCTGGGCATACAGTTCTTTGGCCACTTCGAGCACGAGCTGGCCGCCATCGACGAGCAGCTGCTGGCCAAGCAACGCGCCTGCGCCCAGACCCTGACCGAGCACAGTCTGCTGCATGCCAGCGCCATCGATGCAGCTGTGGCCAAGCGTCTGCTCTTCAAGCCGATGTAAGTCCGTGGGGAATATTCCTAGCTAGAATCATCTCGCAGAGTCCTGTGTGTCCTGAGTATAAGATCCTTTGCCAGGCAGGCTTAATTGAGAGAGGTCTTTTCGTCTGTGGCTCTGTTTTTGTCTCTCTCTCTCTCTCTCTCTCTCTCTCTCTCTCTCTCTCTCTCTCTCTCTCTCTCTCTCTCTCTCTCTCTCTCTCTCTCTCTCTCTCTCTCTCCCTCTCTCTCTCTCTCTCTCTCTCTCCCTTCGTCTGTTTATTTCTTTCTCTTGCCTTCTCACTCATTTCCTTTGCCTCTCTTCCTTACTCTGACTCTCCATTCTTTTGTCTATCTCTTCTCTCCTTGTTTATCGGCCTCTCTCTTCCTGTCTCGCTCTTCGTCTATTTCTTTCGCTTTCCTTCACTTTGTCTTCCCTCTCTCTTCATTTACCTCTTCCTTCCTCTGTATCTCTTTTTGTGTCTAATCTCTGTTTTCCCTTCATCTGTCTCTCCTTTCTCTGGCTCTCCATTCCATGCTTAACTCCTTCTCTATTACCCTCTCTCTTCGTCTGTCTATTTCTTTCTTTTCTCTTCTCTCTCTCTTATCTTCCCTCTCTCTTCATTTACTTCTCCTTTCCTCTGTATATATTTTTCTGCCTCTTCCTTTCTCTGATTCCCCTTCCTCTGTCTCTTCCTTAGGTTGGGTCTTCTTTCCTCTGTCTATATCTCTCTCTCTCTATCGCCATCTCCCTTCCTCTGCCCCTTCTTTCTCTTCCTCTGTTTCTCCTTGACTCAGTCTACCTACTCCTACTCCCTCTCTCACTCCCACTTCCTCTCTCAGTCTTCCTCTATCTCCTGCTCTCTTCATTTGTGTTGTCCTGTCTCCCTTCACACTTGCTGTGCATCCCTCTCCTCTCAGGGATTACTGAGCCCAATTCACCTGCCTCTACTCCACACAGCGATGGCCCGCCAAGGCAGTTGGCCGGCGGCAAGTCACAGGGTAAGGCGCAACCCTTGCAGAGGTCCCTGACCTATGTGGTGTTCGAGAATGTGGACATTGCTAGGCCGAACGATGCCAACTATGATTCGATAGCTGCGCTCTGCAAAGTGCTGCTGGAGACGGACTACTACAGCACAACGCCCTGCCGGTCGCAGTATGTGCAGCAGCTGGAGCAGAGCCGTTGGCTGGGCTATGTGCGGCTGAAGCTGCGCGAGCCGATGCCGATGCCGACGCCGGTGCGACGCTTGAGCAGCAGCCCGAGCAGTCCGAGCAGCGATGAGGGCGACATCGATATCGATGGCATCTACACGGATGGCAGCTCCGGCTATAGCACTGGCGTCGGAGCTGGCTCGGGCAGAGGCAGCTGGTGCGAGGGCGACTATGATCATGTGTACATAGCGCGCCTGAACACGCAGCGTTCCATGGATGAGCTGAAGCTGATGCGGGAGCCACTGCAGCGCAATGTGCTGCCCGAGGCCTGCATACGCCGGCTCGCCAGCTGCCTGCCAGCCTGGCTGGAGCAGAGCGACGACGACGACGACGACGTGGAGAGCAATGAGACCGACAGCGACGAGGAGGAGACGCAGCAGCAAAGCAGTCCTTCCGGCTACGAGACAGTGCAAGTGCTGCGCCAATGCAGAATGGAGCAGCAGCGACGTCGTGATCTCCTCCAGCAGTGCTACCTCAGCTCTCAGCAGTTCATGAACTACTTTGGCGAGCTGCTGCGCCAGCAGCTGGCAAGGGAGCTGGGCATCAGCCAGGCGCAGCTGGCCGCTGGTAGCTATCGCGGCTGCAGCATCTACACGGCCACCGAGGAGCTGGTCCCAGCCATACACGTGCCGCACAGCTGGCCGGACTGCGCCTTCGAGTTCAATCTGCGCGCTCGCCCACAGCTAACGAATCTGCACACGGGCGACAGGTTCCAGTGGCCAACGACGCTGATGCGCAAGCGCATCCAATCCTTCGGGTTTCATGTGGTGCCCGTGGGCTATACGCCGAAGCGAGCACGCAATCCGTTCCGCGAGCTGGAATGGCGCATCGTCTTTCCCCAGGCGGAACAGTTCCTGGAGCGGCACTTGACGCGCATGCAGCTGAAGGTGCTGCTCCTGATGAAGGTGCTGGTGCGCACGTTCGTCAACGAGAAGTGCCAGGCGATGGGTCACATTATGGAGCAGCTGCGCACGCATCTATTTTGGCAATGCGAACGCCACAGCAACGACTGGCCCGAGGAGTTCCTCGGCGAGAAGTTGGTGCGCTTCGTGCGCTCCTTCGCCGATTGCCTGGCCAAGAAGCAGCTGAGCGACTATTTCATCGAGCGTCGCAATCTGTTCGAGCACGTGCCCGAGGATGCGCTCATGGAGCTGCGCACCATCATGGCCGGCATCGCCGAGCAGCCGCTGATGCACGTGCTCCAGGCGCTGCGCAACCTGCAGCACGCCGACAACTTCTATCCCAAGCTCAACTATGAGCGGCTGCTCGAGAATCTGGTGACGCACGACTATGTGCAGCTGCGCAGCTGGGCGAAGTTTTCGCGGCAACCGTTGCCAGTGGTTGAGCAGCAGGTGAAGGAGGATGAGGAGGAGCAACAGCAGCAGCAGCAGCCGGAGTCCCATGACGCAGCACAAGGCTTGCTCGGACTGCATCAGCATCAGGAGCGAACGCGCGGCAAGCTGCGTCGCAAGACACAAATGCTGCGCGCCCAGCAGCTCAAGCTGGCCGAGGAGCAGCGACGCAGCTCCGTGGACTCCAACACGCTGGACATGCCGCTGCTCATGCCACGTGCATCGCAGGCATCGCATACGTCCAGCAACTTGTCGTTACCCACAGCAGCTGGGCCGCAGCTCAACGACGGCCTCGAGATCTTGCGCTGCACCAATCTGCTGGAGCTGCTGCTCGACCACATGCTGGCCATGCTGGCCAAGGCAACGGAGTTTCGTAATGCCCAGCACGCACAGCTCTACTTGGAGCAGGCACAGCGCCTGTGCCGTCTCTACCAGCAGCTGGGCTGCTCCCAGAATGCCCATCACTACACGGAGGCGCTGTGCCAGGCGGCTAGCAACATGGAGCGCGCCGGCCAGAGCAATCAGAGCACTCCGCGCGTGAGTGGCAACTCGAGCCCCATGCGCCGCAAGTCGCTCAAGTTTGTTGAGCATGTGGTGCAGATACATACGGGCGAGGTGCTGCCACTCCAGCCGCCCACGCCGCCCACCGCTAGGCGTACGCCGCAGCCGCAGCCGCAGCCGCCTGACGACATCATTGTCGTGGCACAGGAAGTGGAGCCACCGCCGCCAGAGACAGCCAAGGAGAGCAACGTGCTGCTCGGTTCGCTCTTCCAGCGCCTCCAACTGGATCCGGGAGCACTTCAAGCGCTGAGCACCAAGACGGAGCAGCTCATGCAAACCTTGGCGCCGGAATCGAAGCGTGACGAATTGCGCGATTTGTTCAAACGCAACACACAAAAGGTGAAGAGCGCTTTCAATTAGCAATTAGCAAATAGCATAACGTCAACAAGATAATCGACATAGCCTTCAGTCATGGCCGATTAGACTCTGTCTTGATAACCGAAAGACCCCACGGCGTATCGACTTCTGGACTAACTATCCGTATCTTACTAAGCTCTTTACATACAAGCAAAATTACAGCGTTTCTTTCACTGAAATATATATATATATATAGTATATAGTAGCTGATGTTACCCGGTCCAACTAAATCGACTATCGCTGGAATTTGGCATAGGCTGACCCAGCAAGAGTGTAACTATTTCCGATAGCTATATTTCAGCTATTACTCAATTTATCTAGAACGTTTGATTGCCGAAATATGCCATACATTTTGCCATTTCAGCTGGGAGAGTCTTAGACCAGCTTGTCATAGCTAATGCCAATGCAAACGTGGCTTAATCAGTGAGACGAGTTGAGTCGATTAAGCCCTGTCTGCTCGTCCGGCTGTCTGCATGTCTGTTCGATCTCAGCACTCTGAAGAGCTAGTGGCATTTTTACTAAGCTGGCAAATATTGTCATAAAATATGTAAATGATGTGTTGAAAGTTTCATTAAAATCCGTTAAGTAAAACAAAAGTTATTAAACAAAACGTTTGGCCTCTTAGCAAGCAGTGCCAAGCAGTGGCACGCACACATTCAAATGTTTGCATACTTTTCTTTAGTTTAGATTTACAACTTTTCCGCCAAGCAGTGCATTGGCGGTGTTCGTAGAAGCGGCGCTGTTGCCGAGAAGTTCCGTGCTCGACGCCAGAGGGCGTTGCACATTTTATACGCTTTTGTGTTCGTTGACTTATTATATATAAAAGGAATTTAATGGATTCTGAATTCGATGGGATTCCTGGAACCATCTACTTGCTATGCAGAAAACATTTCTATATCTGAAACCGCTACTAAGCCCATATGAAGCTCAAGCTATAGCAACTATTAAAGAGGCTAAATTATATCGTCCTTCATTCGAACAATACTCACATCAACGCCATGCTCCGCATAGAAGTCGCCGGTGCCCATCGAGGCGTACAGCTTGTAGCCCATTTTGGCCAGTTCACGAATGGAAGAGAGCAGCTCCATTTTGTGCTGGGTTTAGGAATACTCGTCACATATTTAGTCAATGATAGGAATGTTCGTTAACGCACCTTGAAGCTGCCAATGGAGAGGAGAATTGCATTTTTGGGTATCTGAAAGCCGGTGGACATCATGGCTTTCAGATAGGCCTCGTAGCGATTGTCGCCGAAGCAGGCCACCTCGCCCGTTGAGGCCATTTCGACGCCCAGCTGGACATCGGCGCCGGCTAGACGCGAGAAGCTGAATTGTGGCACCTTGACGCCCACCTTGCCGACGCCATGGAGCACGTCGATGGGCTCCACTTCCATGCCGACAATGGCGCGTGTCGCCGTTGCCACAAAGTCGTGATCGAGCGTCTTCGAGACGAAGGGGAAGGAGCGCGAGACTCGCACATTGCACTCGATGACCTTGAGCTCGTTGTTCTTGGCAATCAGCTGCATGTTGAAGGGCCCAGTCACGTCCAGCACGCTGGCCAAGTCGCGGGTGATGCGCTTGATGGCCTCCAGGGTCTCTGCGTTGAGGTCCTGTGGCGGTGTGACCAGTGTGGCGTCGCCCGAATGAACGCCCGCGTTCTCCACATGCTCGGAGACGGCCATGCACAGGATTTGGCCGTCGGCCGCAACGGCATCCACATCGATTTCCTTGGCTTCGGTGAGGAATTTGGATATGACCACCGGATGCTCGCGACTCACGTCGGAGGCGGCATTCAGATACGTCTCCAAGTCCTGGTCCGAGTAAGCCACATTCATCGCGGCGCCGGACAGGACATACGACGGACGCACAAGGCAGGGATAGCCCACCTCGCGACAGAACTCGACGGCCGACTGGAGATTGGTCAGCTCCTTCCACAGCGGCTGCAGTATGCCCTTGCGGTCGAGCATGCGCGAGAACTTGAAACGATTCTCGGCACAGTCAATCGACTCGGGCGAGGTGCCCAGCACCTTGGCCTGCTGGCGATGCAAGTCCATGGCAATATTATTGGGCAGCTGGCCGCCCATCGACAGGATAATGCCGTCAGAGCGTTCCATCTCGTAGATATCCATGACGACCTCGAAGCTAATCTCCTCGAAGTACAGCCGATCGCACATGTCATAGTCGGTGGACACCGTTTCCGGATTGTAGTTGATCATGATGGTCGACTTCTTCAGATTGCGCAGCTCGCGCAGACAGCCGACGGCACACCAATCGAACTCCACCGAGGAGCCAATGCGATAGACACCCGACCCGACGACGATCGTGTGGCCACCGGGAAAGAGGACGTCGTGCTCCGACGCGTTGTACGTGTTGTACAGATAGTTCGTGCTGGCTGGCCATTCGCCTGCGACGGTGTCAATCTGCTTGACGAAGGGTCGAATGTTGTGCTGGTGTCGCTTTTGCCGCACCGCCAGCTCAGTGCTGTTGGTGGCCATGGCTATTTGCTTGTCCGCAAAGCCCAGGCGCTTGGCGCTCAGCAGCAGAGACGGCGTCAGTTGGCTGCCGGCCGACTCGAGCTTGCCATAGAACTTGATGATGTGCTGCAGCTTGTGCAGGAACCAACGATCGATCTTGGTCAGGTCGTGCAGCTCCCCGATGGACATGCCCGCACGCAGGGCTGCGGCCAGCACGAAGGGCCGACGGTCTGTGGGCTCCGATAGCTGCTCCTTGTCAACGGCCGCCAGATACGGATCGAAGCCCTGGACGTCGCCATCGACCATGCGCAGTGCCTTCTGTATGGCCTCCTCAAAGCAGCGTCCAATGGCCATCACCTCGCCGACGCTCTTCATCGAGCTGCCGATGTGCTTGCTCACACGCATGAATTTGGCCAGATCCCAGCGCGGTATCTTAACCACACAATAGTCGAGGCTCGGCTCAAAGCAGGCCGTCGTGTTGCCCGTCACCGAGTTGCGAATCTCCGGCAGCGGCTCACCCAACGACAGCTTGGCGGCGACATAGGCCAGCGGATAGCCCGTCGCCTTGCTGGCGAGCGCCGAGCTGCGCGACAATCGGGCATTCACCTCGATGATGTAGTACTGCTCCGAGTGGGGGCACAGAGCGTATTGAATGTTGCACTCGCCGACGACCCCAAAGTGCCGGATGACCTTCAGCGCGGTGCTGCGCAGCATTTGGTACTCGCGATCGGAGAGGGTCTGCGAGGGCGCCACCACAATGCTCTCGCCGGTGTGTATGCCCAGTGGATCGAAGTTCTCCATGTTGCAGACGGTGATGCAGTTGTCATAGGCATCGCGGACAACCTCGTACTCGACCTCCTTCCAGCCCTTGAGCGATTTGTCGACGATCAGCTGACTGGAATGGGCGAGCGCCTGCTGGGCCAGCGTCGTCAGTTCGTTCTCGTTGTTGGCAAAGCCTGAGCCGAGGCCACCCAGCGAGAAGGCAGCGCGTGCCATCACCGGATAGCCCAGACGGCCGGCGGCCTCCAGTGCCCCAGCCACAGTATAGACGGCCTCAGAGGGCGCCACACGTTCCCCGATCTCATTCACCCGCTGGGCGAACAGCTTGCGATCCTCCGTCTCAATGATCGACTGAATGGGCGTGCCCAGAATGCGGACGTTGTACTTGGCAAAGACGCCCGCACGCTCCAGCTCGACGCCGCAGTTGAGGGCCGTCTGGCCGCCAAAGGTGAGCAGGACGCCGTTGGGCCGCTCCGACTTGATCACCTGCTCCACATAGTCGGGCGTCAAGGGCAGGAAATAGCATTTGTCGGCCATGCCCTTCGACGTTTGCACCGTGGCAATGTTCGGATTGATCAGCACCGTTTGTATGTTGGACTCGCGCATCGCTTTGATGGCCTGCGAGCCGGAGTAGTCGAATTCACCGGCCTGGCCAATGGACAGGCCGCCGGAGCCCAGGATGAGCACCTTGCGCGGACGAGGATGCGGTTCGGGTCGTGTCGCGCACAATCTGGATGCGATTAGCTCTGGCACGCTCTTCGCCGGCTCTCGTATGGCATCGAGAAAGACATCGAATAGGAACTCGGTATCCTGCGGACCACCATGGTGCTCCGGATGAAACTGCACCGAAAAGTAGGGCTTGCTGCGATGCACAATGCCCTCGTTGGTGCCATCGTTGGCATTGACGAACAGCTCCTCCCAATCGCCAGGCAGCTGAGCCAAGTCGACGGCATAGCCGTGATTCTGGGACGTGAGCAAACAGCGACCGCTGGCCCGATGCAGGCAGGGCAGGTTGTGGCCGCGATTGCCGTACTTCATCTTGTAGGTGGTGCAGCCGATGGCTGTGGCCAGCAGCTGATGCCCCAGGCAGATGCCGAAGATCGGCTTGTCGCCAGCCTTCAAGACCAGCTGCAGCTGCTCGACGATTTGCTGACAGCTGGCCGGATTGCCGGGTCCATTCGAGAGGAACAGCGCGTCGTACTGGTCCGCCTGCAGTTGTGCGCTCCAAGGCAGCAGCTGCACTGAGGCGCCGCGCTGCAGCAAGCAGCGTATCTGGTTCACCTTCAGGCCGCAATCCATGACGGCAATGCGCGGACCAGCTGGACCCTGCGGCGACTTGAACATTAGCATCTGCTTAACGGCGCACTCCTTGGCCAAATTGCGTTCGTTTGGGTCCGGGATCACGACCTTCGCCTGCTCGCGCGGCTCCACGTAAACGATGCGTCCCAGCATGCTGCCCTGTTCGCGCAGCTTCTTGGTTAGGCAGCGCGTATCGATGCCGCTGATGCCGGGCACCCTATGCTCAGCCAGCCACTGGGACAGGGTGCGCTTGGAGCGCCAATGCGAGGGCGTGTCACATATCTCGCCCACCACCAGGCCAGACACTTGAACAGCACCGCCGAACCACTCGAAAGGCTCCGGCAGCCCGTACGCGTCCAGCGGCCCATCATCCGGCACACCATAGTTGCCAATCAGCGGATAGGTCAGCACCAGAATCTGTCCGCTGTACGAGCGATCGGTCAAGGCCTCCGTATAGCCCACCATGCCCGTCTGGAAGACCACCTCTCCACTTGTAGCTACGTCCTTGGCACCGAAAGAGCAGCCCGGCATCACCGTGCCGTCCTCCAGCTCGAGGTAACAATCTGTATCTGTTGTGGCCATTGCGCTGCTAGATGAGATCAAATATCACAAATGATTATTCAGATCGGGATGCTTTTAAGGTTCTCTCTCTCACACACTGTCTCTATCAATATCTCTCCTTCTCTCTCTCTTTCACACTCTACCTCTATGCATCTCTTTCCCTCTCTCTCTCTCTCTCTCTCTCCATGTATCTCCTACCTTTTTCCTATGCATCTCCCCCTTTTCTCCTCCCTCTCTATGCATTTCTCTCTCTCTATATCTATATATATATCTATCTCTCTCCCTCTCTTTTTTCTATGCATCTCTCTCTTTATGTATTTCTCCTTTTTCCTATGCATCTTCCCCTCTTGCCCTCCTTCTCTCTATCTATCTTCCTTTCTCTCTCTTTTCTTCCTCTTCCTCTCTCTCTCTTTTTCTATATATATATATATATATATCTATGCATTTCCCTCTCTCTCTCCCTCTTCTCTTCCTCTTTCTCTGTGCATTTCCCTCTCTCTCTCTATATATATCTATCTATCTATCTCTCCCTCCCTACCTTCATCCCTCTGTCCCCCTCCATCTATCCGCCACATGGGATTCATGTTTCCCCCATTCAAAAATATGTTTATTTAGGCATCTTTATCTCTATCAGCCGACGATGGATTGAAATATAAGATTTGCTTACACTCGCGGAGAGCCTGAGCTGAGTCTGCTAAACAAGACAATTTAGCACTCAATTTCCATTTGGGCAGTAAATAAATAAATAATAAATAACAAAAATTATTTATTTGCGTTGCAATTGAAGTTCAGGCTGAGGCTTTAAGTAACGGATTGGATATAGAGGCGACACACGATTTGCAAAAATGTGCGAAAATCAATAAACAAACTTCAAGCGCTGAAAATTGCATAGAAAGGCGCAGTGAATGGATTAAGACGGGACAAGAAAATCTCAGAAATATATATATATATATATACACATATATATATATACAAAGATCTCGTCCTTCAACTTCAAATACACATATTTGAAATAGTTAAGAGTAGAAGATTTGCTTGATTATATTTCATTCATGACTGATCAGCCACGACTGCTAAGCAATATACCCGTATTGTAGGGTATTCTGTAGCTTAAGTAGTTTCTTGTGCATTTCGGTTGCACCGCATGGCGGGCTTATCATGAATGCAGTACCTGAAATGCCCTCGATGCAGGAAATATTCAATGTGTCCATATCGACATATTTACATACACACATGCATACATACATATACACACATACCAATACACACATGTATACAGATATGATATGGAGTATATGCGCCGTTCACAGAACTCTGATAAAGAGATAAGTGTATTTTAAAACATTCCCGTATAGGACTGTATATTCAAAATGTAAATTATATTTAATATGCTCGCTCACTATATATAAATATATAAAACAAAAATCCGAACATTCTAATCAGATATGTTCATTTCAACGCACTTCTGCTACTAGCATATTCCAATTGGACAACAAACGTGTATGTTCTTATAAGATCATGAAACAGGTTTGCAATCAGACACACACTCACAGACAGATTGCCAGACAAACACACACACAGACGCTCAGGCATGCACGTGTGAGAGAGTATAGTAAGATTTAATTATGAATTGTGCACAGCTAATATTGATATTATTGAGAGCAGCTATAAGTTACCTGCCGTCGTTTTTTTCACTTCCAATATCACCCAAATGTGTTTTAAAAATTTCACGCCAAGTCGACGATTCGTTCTGTTTGCCAGAGGCAAAACTTGCGCACGTGTTTTTTTATACGCACTACGCAAGCCGAACACAACAACTGGCTTGGCCGCAGATTGAACTTTTTCTGATTAACAAACGCCGTTCCAAAGTAAGCATACTCAAGTGCAAGTCGGCATGCTGTCGGAGCTTCGCAGACGAAAGAACTGGCAATTGAGCATACACAAACACACACATATACATATATGCGCGAGAGCGTAATAAATTTCAGGACCACGCGTAATTGAAAGAGTGTGAAGAGAACAAGCAGCCATGCATGCACACATACATATATTTATGCACACATACATACGATGGCCAAAGGGCTCGGCAGATCAAGTCTCGTGTCTTTCGTTATGCGCTTCGTTCGTGAGAAATTGTTTGCATATACCAATTTGCGTATTCACACATTGTGCAAAGCAATCTGATTTTTAGATATCGTAAAGTAAGAGCAACATCAACATTATCATCATTACCTTTTAGCCATAAGAGTTTCCAATAGTATTTTAAGCCAAAAAACCCCGCTAAAACAGCAGCAGCAACAACTTCATCCTTAATAGCACGCGTCAGCTGTTAGCAAATACCGTATTTAAGTATTCTATCGATATTTGTCTCTTTTAGACTTTGAGGCAAGCATATATACATTGTGTACAATATTCTTTATTGTTTTAATTTTTATAATTTAAATAGATGACGAGCTTGCTTTTAAAAATAATGACCTTGGCGCCTAATCATAAGTCAAATTGTCAAAAAAAGACAAGAACAAAATAAACTTCGCCTTTCAACACTGGCTGTAGCAGTTGAGCTCAACTTGTACATGTATATTTCGGTTATTGAGATTTGATCAAAATAATATATATATTATTTTGATATTTGCTAAAATATAATATAAATATAAAAAAAAATATTAAATATAAAATATAAAAAAAATAAAATAAAATAATAAGGATTTCAATTTAATGATGCCTTGCTTTCGTTAAAATTAATTTCAAAAATTGTGCGCAAGAGTGGCAACGCTGCGTCGATATGTTGACAGCGCTCCACAGATAAGCCGATGACTTTGTGCGGCAACTTTAAATTTCTAATTAGCATGGCAACGCTAAGCTTTTTGCGCGGCAAATTCAAACCTGAAATGCCGGCGCGAATAAAGATAACTCCATGAAAAATAAAAAAGATGGTGAAGGAAAACAGATCGGAAAGAAACTTATTAGTTACTGTTGCAATTCAATGCAGTATTTATTAAGTTTAATATATGTATATACACAAATATATATATTTTGGTATATACGTCATGTGCCTGTGTTATACATATTGTGTAAAAGTAAATGATATATATATAAGTTAACTTATAACACTTAGTTAGCTTATAACACTTAATATAAGGTATTATTCAACACTTATTATCGGGTGCTAGACAAGTTAAGGAACAGCCCTGGCAAGAGCAACTCTACTTACGCCGGTGAGGCTATGATTTGTAAAAATATAGATCAGTCTCGTGTTTTAACTCGTACTGATAGGACATGCTAAAAAATGGAAATCATATAATTGGCGCCCAACGTGGGGCCGGACAGAACACTTATCGCATTAGTGCCAGAAAGAAGCTATACGCACCCATACCAGGTCTCTCCGAGCAGCAACAGCAGCCAGTGCCAGCTGTTGATCCCTTCCAAGCACCGCCATATCCCACACAGCCATCGGCAGCGGCGGCAGCAGCAGCATTCGAGCAGCCTGCACCACCAGCCGTTCAAGAGGAACGCAAGAGCGGTGGTCTCTTCTCACTCACTAGTCTAGTGCCCACTGGCGTGTTACAGAATATTTCGGGTCTAGTGCAATCGGCCACAGGCAGAACCAACGAACCTGCGCCACCCCCACCAGCCAGCTACAATCCAGCTGATTCTGGTGGCTACTTTGACATAAGCACATCCGGCGCTGCCGTACCGCAGCCGCCTGCAAACTTTTTTACGCCTGCAGCTCCGCCTGCTGCTGCTGATTATTTTTCGCCCACTGTAGCACCACCCACTGTAGGTGGTTACATCAATCCTTCCGTAGTTGCTGCAGCTCCGTCTGTTGGTAACTTCTTTACGCCAGCACCAGCTGTTTCTGGGCAATCAACCGGTGTTCAGCCAACGCCAGCCGCGGTACCACCGACATTTACTCAGCCTGGGGCAACTGCTCCGCCAGCGACATACGCTCAGATTCCGACAGTCACCCAAGTAGCCACTGTCCCTCAGCCACTGACAGCTGCTCAAGCACCTGGTTTAATCGAGAGTACTCCAACGTTTGCACCGCCATCAGTGGCTGCAGCAACTCCCCCACCAGCGGCAGTAGCAGCACCACCACCAGCGGCAGGACCTGCACACTCCTCGTACCGCCTGCAGAAGGGTACCAGACTCTACAAGAGTCCACTGACAGCTCAGGAAACTGCAGTGCCCGCAACAGGCTTTGGCCAGCAAACAGCTTTAACAGCCACGCCCTTTGCACCCTTCGCAGCACCTGCTGCTATTTTTAATCCTTTTGGAGCACAGCCTACAGAAGTTGCCCTATTTACAGCGCCAGCTCCGTCAGCTGCACCAGCGCCAAGCCAGGAAGTTCCTCTGTTGCGGCTGCACCACCCCCAACTGGGCCAGCAACATCGCTGTTTACACCACAGGCATCGACGGGCCTCTTTCAGACTCACGAAGCAACTACATCGCTTTTTGCACCAGCACTATCCGATACACTTCAGGAGGTTCCTCTCTTTTCCAGTCCGACTAACGCAACACAAGGACTTACACCAGATACAAGCAACAACCTTTTTAAGTCACCGACTCAGAGGGAAGAGCTAAAGAGCTCTTCAAATCAAAATCAGGAGGTTACACTATTTGCACCACCGTCAACTGCACCTGTTTCGGAAGTTCCATTATTCCCAACATCACAGAGTTTGCCCATATTTTCACAAGGACCAGCAACAGCTCTATTCGCACCACAGTTGGATGCTAAGCCAGAACCACAGCAGGCAAATCTACAAGCGGAATCGTTGAGGAAATCCCCTTGTTCACGGCACCACCACCAACAGTAGAAGCAACAACTAACGAGTTCTTCGCGGCGGCAGAGCCAAGCGACTCTTCATCCATACTAGAACCAAGTCAAGAAATCCCCAAAACACCGCCAACTGCATTAATTCAAGAAGTTTCACAGCCACAGGTTGCTCCAACCGCTGTCCATCTCTGTCGGCACCTTCCACAGCTGCCGGCTCATCCTCATCCTCATCGGCAGCGGCGTCACGTCAACTGCAGCGGCCGGCATTGTCGGCAGTTGCCGCACGGCAACAGCAGCTACTGCTGAACGGCTCGCTGAAGAGCAAGACGAAGACATTTCCTGCGTATCGAGCATCGGTGCGCAGCGAGAGCGACGACAAGGAGTACAGGGCGCCTAGCAAAAAGTCGGCCGGTGTCGCAGTCGCTGGCAGCCAAGATCAGCGGCAAGAACTGTAACAATCTGCTGCACAACGCCGGCAATAAGCTAAGCGTGAGCAGCAACTCCTTCGGCCTATACGCAGCATCTGGCATCATCGCCCAAGAGCCCTGTCTCCAGCAACGGCCATCTGAACAAATACTGCCTGACGGACTTGACGCGCCGCAAGGCCGAATTCAATCGCCAGCTGAGCGCGCCGACAGACTACACACATCACTCGTCCAGTAACGGCTCATAGCATCGCTGGAGTGGTGGGACACAGTCATCACGGCCATCACGGGCACGTGCACGGCCAGTCATCGACGGCGCCAGCCACACTCAAGTCGCTGCAGCTGCACAACTTTGGTGTGCATCATCCGATGCCAAGGCTCACGTCCACGTCGGGCACCAACAGCTTCAACAGACGCCACATACGTAGGCGCAAGAGCAAGCTTAGTAAGCGCCTGCTGAACGGCGATAGCGAAGAATCAGTACGCTGCTCATACTGCTCCGTATTGAATGTGAATGAGAACGACTTGCGGATTTCATTCGAGAACACCTGCACCGACTCGCTGGTCACCGCTGCTAATATGCGACCAAGGAACCGAAATGGTGCACTTTGATGATGTGTCGTTGTACGGCACTCCGAAAGAGGAGCCATATGCTGTGCTTTAATCTGCATTGGCCTCACTCTTTGGTGGATCATCGACGCAAAGAAGTCCGCGAAGCACTTGCGAGGAGTCGTCGCTGGAATTGGGTCGGTCGAGGACGACCTTACACTTGAGGGGGGGGTAGTTAACTTATAACACTTAGTTAGCTTATAACACTTAATATAAGGTATTATTCAACACTTATTATCGGGTGCTAGACAAGTTAAGGAACAGCCCTGGCAAGAGCAACTCTACTTACGCCGGTGAGGCTATGATTTGTAAAAATATAGATCAGTCTCGTGTTTTAACTCGTACTGATAGGACATGCTAAAAATTGGTGTCATATAAGTAAAACTAAAAATAGTGAATATAATAAGAAAAACCAATAAAATTAACTGTTTCGATTATTCAAAAAAGAACAATTAAAAGCAGGGTTAAAAAGCGTTCTTCCAGTAAACCGCTTAAATAAATATTCACTCCGTCATTTGCTCGTTAAATGGCTTATTTCATTGTCTGAGCCCGAGGCCAGCAATAAGAGGCACAGTCGCCTCTCAACCTAACTTTCAGTCACCACAGGACTGGAAAACATATAATTTATATATATATATATATATGTATATAAATATATATGTATATGTATGTAGTACAAAAGCATAACAAATAAATAACAAGAAATCATTCAATACATATTACTTGTACATATGCATGTTTATCGGGTATTAGGAAAACGCATACATTTTGGTCTACTTATAGGGGCCGCCAGATAATAATCCGGGATCCGCCTTTGGTTAATAACGTACAGAGAACAAAAGAAAAACGTTTTGATAAATACATTGCAGGATCTAAACAAAGTTACAAAATAATAATAATAATAATAAAAAAAATACATACATATATGTATATATGCATATATGTATATGTAAATGTATATGAAATGGTAAAATCATTTGTTGAATCTGCCGAGTCACTGATGGCCAGTGCGCTTAGACATTGGTTGGCGCATCCATGCCGCAGATGACGGACTTCACCACTGCAGCGGCTGAGAGCGAGGCATAGTTCTGCC